CCCTGTGTTGGCTTTCCTTTTGTTCAAAAGTCACATGTGTGATGTTTTGCAGATCCTCAGGGTTATCCGACAAGTTGTTCGGCAGGAATCTCTTGGACGAGATGGGCAAGCCCTGGAAGAGCCCTGAGCTCAAGAAGGCTCGCAACAGCCCCTTGGACGGACCGGTTGGGGCGCGGCTTCCGCAGGCATTTCACGAAGGTGCGGCCAACGCCAAGCTGTGAATCAGCGGGTCGAAGGGGCGAACCAAAGAAATCCAGAAATATTGCAGCGCGGTGTAGGGTTCTTGCCAAGCTGAGACGCTCAGGTGCCAAGGTCTTGCGCAACCGCATCAAGAGCGAGCATCTTGGCTGAGTAATGAGGCTGCAGCTTGTGAGGGGTGCAACTTCACGCGTTTCCAGCCTTGGTGCCTTCCATTTGACTATGATAGCTTGAGGTTGATGCACACCAGTTTGTCATCATTCATACCACATGCTACCATGTATTGTTTGGTCTTGTTCTGGTGTGAGTGTGAATCCCTGCAGTGCAAACTGTCAGGTTCGGCGAGGGCCGCAAGTGGATGACCAAGTGAGCTGGTCCTGATGGTCTGTGGGTGCGCTTGGGCCAATTGGCATGTGACGTGCCAGTTGGATGCAGTGACACCTCAGCCATGTCTCTTGACGCCCTGACACCGAGGGACCAACCTTGGTGTCAGGCATTTGCTGAAATTTCGGCATTTAGACCCTGATTCCAGCAAGCATTTTGTCAAGCTGCACTGGGATCTGCTGAGCATAGACAAGTGGCTTTCAGGCTCCAAACCTTTACTTTGAGGCAAGCAGAACAGTGCATGCATTTATTGCTTACCTGATGCCAGTTTATGCCGCAATTGTGCTGCCAGCAGCTGCGATTTTCATGCGGCCGGAGTGCAACGCAGCTTTGACACGTTGCGCGTAACCCGACTTTCGAAGCCCTTTAAAAGCTTTCAACACCCAGGACCAGCCTGAGCATTTGCCAATCTCAAAGCGGCTTCAGCAGAAGCAGCTTGTTTTTCATGGCCCCATGGCTCAGCAAGGTATCTCAGTATCGCATGTGAGTCGCTTTCCGTTGGCACGGTGCATTGGCCTTGGCCCTTCGGGGTATAATTGAAGTCCTCGGCGACCATGGCCCTTTGGAGCCCGTGGTTTGCCGTGTGGCCTTGGTATGGTACAGCTCGAAATCATGCGGAATATCAAATAAGCCAGCTTTACATCCAACATGTTTTAGAAAAACCGAATACCTGGAATTATAGCTCCATTTAAATATGCTTGTAATTCTATTAGTGTCAAAAATACACAACAGTTCTAGTTTTTTCACCTTGCAAGGTGGTGGGACAGGATCTTACACTTTTGCATAAACCTTTTACACTGGATCAAAGTAATAAGAAGCCTTGGCGTCATATATATATATATATAGCTAAGAGAGGGGAAGAAAAGAAGGTGAAGCACTGCAGAGTGAAGCGAGGTGCCTTACGATCCAAGCTGGTCTTGCGTTGGATGCAGAAGGTGTTGTATCATTTTCCAATTGCTCGCTTGAGAGGTAAATGTTAGATTAATCGCTTCCCCCTATCAATATCTTCGGCCTGCAAATAAATATCATGTTTCCAAAACCGCCGGGTCCAATACTACTTTTAGAATCGAACCCAGACAAAGAGTCTCGCCCTTTTCAAGTTTGTACTAGTTACAACCCATTTGGAAAGTTCAACTTTGCGTCCGATTGAAGGGATGAGAACATTTGCTTCTGGGTTTCTGGGCTTGCCGGGGGAGAGGACAGGTTTCTAGAGGGGATTTGATTGTTTTCTACGTTTTTTTTTTTTTTTTTTTTTTTAATAGGGGGGGATTTGATTGGTTTCTGGAGGGGCAGTTGACCGGTTTTAAGGGGGTTGGACCGGCTTTGAGAGGGGGAATTTGCTCGGCTTCTGGCGGGATTTGGCCGAAGCTTAGAGGGATTTGACTGATCTAGGTTTTGAGGGATGTTTTGATCGGTTTCTTGACCTTTCTGCTAGAGGGGCATTTGACCAGTTTTACACCGATTTCTACTTGCTTTGGGGGCGGACTGGAGGCTGCTTGAGCAAGGATTTTTGCTGCGCGACATGGGGTCGCGGGGGACGGGGGCGTACTGAGTATTAGGGGAAAAGGTGAAGAGCTGGCAGGTGAATCCGTTCGACAAGCGGTGAGAGCCTGAGGTCCGCGGTGGCGCTGGGCTGGCACAGAGCTTGGCACTCGAGGCGCTCAAGGCAGGGTTGTAACCAGGCTTACTAAGCACTTACTAAGTACCCGACCGCCCCTTTAAGCAGGATGCGCGAGAAGCAGGGACGTGGGCATATTGTCCGGGTAAGACTTGGTGCAGAAGTTGCGGTCTCCATTTGAGGCAAATTCGATCTGACGGAGAAGCAAGCTTGATCGATGAGCGAGGGTTGAATTCCGCGAACCTTTGAGAGACACCTCAATGGCATGCTTGAGGTGTTGTCCTGTGTATTTGCTTTTTGCCTGCCATCCCTGACGGTCAGCTCATGAAGCCCTCGCGCACACCTTAGGGGTTTGCTTCGCATGCCTACCTATCTAAACCTTCGCAAGAAACAGGTCTCGTGCAGAGCTGGTTGCAAAGGGCTCCACCAGGATGGGTACTCTAAGTTAGTTGGGTCATGACAACTTGCGAACTTGGAGCCAGCGTTCCCATGCCCTTGAGGGCAGCGAAGACGCTTGGTTTTCCAATGATTTTGTTAGTGGTACCTGAGAATTGTCACCAGCGCCAAGGCATGCAGTGCAACTCAACCAAACTCCAATTATCGTGAGCAAGCTCCCTTCTGTCACGGGCTTGCGGGTAGAACTCGAGCATGCAGTTGACAACTGGCTTGGTTCACGTGGCCTAGATGTCACAAGCGCCTGAACCCCAAATTGGGAAGAGTTGTTTGGGCTATTCGTTTAGTATTTGTTTGTGAAGCTTGTTTTGTGCCGCGGCGCGCAAGTAAACCTGGTTGGGGTAGGATCGCGTAGGCCATTCCAACCGGATCCTGAGGCAGGTTTGCGCCATAGTCCAAAGTGCAGCTTGCAAAATTGTGCGTGGCGCTCGCATAGCCGAATTTTGACCATGTCCCGGGCGGCACCCTTCCATTGTTTGCAAACCCTATGAGGCATGCGGATCCGGAGCAACATAGCCAGCTCGGTTTGATCAAGTTGCTGGACTGTTCATTATTAAAGACCTAAAGGCCTGTTGCCTTTGAAGGCAGGGAAGCGTGGGCATTCCCCTCGAGCCAGGTTTGGTTCTTCGAGCTTGGCAAGTGAAGCCAGTCTCACCAAGTGCTCGCAGATTTGGCCACCAAGCCAGGGGCATTTGCAGTCGCCGCTCATGGGATGATATGGGGCTCCAAGCGGCCCGGTGTGTGTTCCTTGGTCCGGTGTCAAACCGAAAAAGCGACCCGCGTCGCAACGTGGAGAGCGAATTCATCACACTTGCTTGCACCACCCAGTTGCTGGATTATGGTTTGCTTTTATTTGTTCTGGTATTTTGTTTGCTTGTTTATTCCTCCCCCGCTTAGCAACGGTCCCCCTACTTAAAATAAGACAAGAAATAGTTGTCCCACCCCTCGACCCCGAGTAGGGGGATTATTTGGTGGCCCTTTGTGCGTTCCAGCGCACATATTTGAGATGCACTGCTGACGTGAAGTATGTTACAAACACGACCGTGTCAGAGTTTTTTGATTATTTACTGACAAACACATGTTGAACACGAACGAAACAGGACAACCAGGCACGCCAGACTAAACATGTTTTCCTCAGGGAATCCTCGAGGTGTCTTCCTTCTAAGCAGGGAAACGGATTTCATTGTATACATGTATTTTGCACATGTGAACGAGGCCACGCTTCTCGCCTGAGGCTCAGATAGTGCTGTTTGGAACTTGAACATCAGATATTTGGAAGATGGACATGAGGCTTCCAGGTTGACCACATACAGATGCAGCTCGGCAAGTGACGCGAGGCAGACGTGACTCGTGCGACGAAAGTGCATGCACAAAGTATATAGGTCAAGCGGCCCAATGGCGCTGCATGGTTTCCTGCAGAAGTTGTCAGTGGCAACAGTTGGAATCTTCCAAGGCTTTGTGCTGATCGACTTGGCCTTTGATGTGGAGAGCTTGCGAGGCAAGTTCTCCAGCAGTAAGCCCTTCTACCAGGGTCGCGAGGAGCATCCGGCCTTGGATCGCCTGGCTCTGTTGCAGGCCCCGCTGCTCTTGGCGTTGCTGTCCACTGTTTACGTGGCCATTCGTGACCGGAGCTGGCAAAACTGGAGTGCACTGGTCCTCCTACTGGCCGCGATGTTTGGAGGGAGCAATGTTGTGAAGCTGAGGGACTACATGAAGGAGCATCGGGAAGAGGAGGTAGTGCATCCATCACTAGTGAACATCGCTTGGATCCATGTTCTCATGTCCGTGGCTCTTGGCCTTTGCTTGTTCCTGCTGTGTTTGGAGGGCAGCGCAAAGGACAAATCGGCCTAGGGCCGCGTTTTTTGTGCTCCTCAAGAGCTGACCTGACAATTTGCAGTCGGATATGATGTCACTCGTGAGAGGTGAATCGTTCGGTGGCACAATGTTTAGATGAATGCGCTTGAGGGAGCTGCACATGCGCGGTGTTGATCCTCTGCACCCGCAGCGACCAGACAGTACGATCCAGCCCACGGTTCTCATGGCGGGCCTGTCAGATAGTTAATCGATTCGCAACGTCTTGGATGATCTTGGATGGAGCAACTGCGAGACAAAGATGGCGGGGTTGGCCTGCAGCGTAGACAACTGGGATAGCACTAGGAGTTGATGCCAGGAAGTTGGCACATGAGTTCAGCGTTATTACTATTTTTCAATCGGGCCCGTTCACATTTTTTGAATAAGTGGTTGCTCGAATGTAAGTTCCATAGGGCAAGTTTCAAACAGATCGCTCATAGCAACAATAAATCTTTGTGTTCTGGTGCAGCAGTCTATCGTCCATCCCCTTTCGCAGGTGCTGAATGGTGAGCTTGAGGAAGTGCAGATCTACAATGCCCTGACTCAGGCGCTGAATTTCTCTCGAGTCTGACACGGTCGGTGAATGACAGGGCTGTTGCGTCAGTGAACGACTACTCATGAGCGACAACACACCGCACAGATGTGGCAGGTGTTGAGTGGTGCTGGTGTTGAATTTGCCATGAACGACATTAGCCAATAGCAGAGGTCGCCTATGTTGCTTGTTTGTATTGCCATGCTGCGATTGCACTGCGCCATCATTATGGTCTAATGTACGAAGAAGAAGGGACGGTGTGTTTTGTGTGGTGGCCTGTGTTGCTGTATGATGTTTCATTTGTTTGGTGACAGATGCCATCCAAAGTGAGTCGTGCTAACGATCTTCAGCAGACGACAAACCAGCTTTGAATGCGTGATGATCATGCCAAGCACGCAGTAATCATACTGTACAACTCGCGGCCAACTTGCTTGTAAAGCATGCTTCCGCTGCTCTGTGTCAATCGCAACAGCCTTTCAATCAGTGCACAACTACCTGTCAGTCGCAATGGCACTGCCAGTTGAAGCCCTTCGTCTTCAATGACACCACCAAGGCCTCGTCGCTTTGATTCTGGATTTCTTGTCAGGCCATGTCCTTGGATACAAGTTGCAATTTGCTGTTCGTACTGAGCACATCGCCTTTCCCATCACCATGGAGTAGTGAGATGCCCCAGTTTCTTCAGTCACACCGACCGGTAGGTTTCAGGCATGTGTTTGTTGGTGGTCGGGCGGCTTTTGATGCCAAGCCACCATTAGCCGGGTTTGCTTCGCTGCCATCGACCAGCTCTTGTGTTCGCAGTATGTTGCTGTGTTAGCCTCAGAGGCCAGAGCCCATCTCAATGTTGGAGGCGCTTAAGAAGTGCAGTGGCCTATCAATGTGAATGGCATTCAGACACATGGGTTTCCCGCGTTTGCCAAATAAGTGTGCATCAAAAATAGATGCATGCTGCTGCATGCCCCCTTAGAAATGTTTGCATGGCGGAAATTTTCGGCAAATGTGCAGGACACGTCTCCAAATTCAAGACTCTCCAGAAGGATAAACTGTGAACCCATCTCGGTTAGGTCTGATCATGTTTGTTCCCAAGAACCTCCGGCAATACTGTCATGGCACCTTTCAGCAGTCGAGCTTTCATTTGGGACGTACGCTTAATGTTGGACGAGTTTGTTTTTGTCACAGCCTATGGCCTTGTTTGGAATACGAAGGCCACAGTGCCAAAGTTACCTAAGCATTGTTGGTTTTAAAAGGAATTTATGACTACTGGATTTGTTTTTGTTGCTAGGGGTCTTAGCCAAATGGAAGAACACAAGATCCATGCACCTACCCTTTGGCAAGTTTGGATTCCTACAGCCAAAGGCCCTCCACACATTTTCTGCGAGACCACTGATTCTCACAGAGGATCTTCTCATGTCGGGATGGCCCCAACCCAAGGGTACTTGGTAGGGACTTTTCGGGCCAAGACGCCAACAGAACTTCCAAGCACGGGCCGGGATTCAAGATTGAGCAGGCAGCTTTGCTTGGAGTCCCCAATGTGTGTTTCCAGAATTTGTTGGCAAGTATCAAAGTATTTGGACATAGAATCTTGAATCTAGGCCCAACCTACCTTGATCTACTGTTTTTTTGGGCCCACAATCCCAAGCATCCTGGACATGAATTCAATGTTCCTGGCAGGTAAGCTTCCTGGCAATCAATCTTGAGTCTTGAATGCTGGCCTGAAGTACTTCCACGCCATTCGTTGTTGTGCCCCAAACTTATCACAAAGTACCCTGCACATGAGTTCAAGAGGGAGGAAAGCCCGGCCTTTCCAGAGGGGGAAGCAGAGCTTAAGACCGCTGCGGGGAACACGGGCAGGCATGGGATCCTTCCCCTAGAGAGTGCCGAACCCAGAAACTCAGCTTGCGGATCTTCCCAGGACGCGATCAATGGAAGCTAAAAGGAGAGTACTGGACATCCAGGCTATGTGTTTGGAAGGAATTGAAATAGACGGGTTTGGTCCAGGGGCTTTCGAGGCACAAGGATGCAACCGTTCGGTTGGCGCATGTGCGCTTTGCTTGTTGATTCTTTCGGTAGAAAACAGAGCTGCAGGTAGGGATTGCGGCATTCGTTGGGCAAGCCTTGTGTGCGATGGAGTATTTGCGAGGTCTCTCCCCCCAGCCTCCTTTCCACATCTGCAACTGCACATGGAGCGTGCATGAGAGATCAGAAGCACTTAATGTTGTACATGCATAAGAACCAAGCAACTTTATCTTGTTTCACACCATCGCTTGCCTATCTTGAGCCAAAGTGCAAGTAAGCAACACATGCCGTGCAGATTGTTCATGTTCTATTCATTCCATTTCTACGTTCGACTTGCACGGGTGCAATTGATCTCTATGCTTATCCTGTGTGGCCAAGTGATGGTTTGAGATGGGCCAAAGCTAGTGGGATGGGGTCTTGGACACTTCAGGACCTGCCTTAAGCCTTTGTGTAGGTGAACAATTGAGGTGGCCCAGCTTTGGCAAACCACCTAGGTTCCCCAGTGGTGCCCTTTTTTTGGGGAGGGTTCCCCAACTAAATTGACTACAGAAAAAAGGGTACCCATATTCTAACCGCTCTACTGGAGGACCTAGCCACATATCGCGCCCACCATGTTCAATAATTGCACGCCAAGCCAGACACCTTTAGATACAAAACACAGAGACCTGCAACCGATTTTACCAAAGGGCGGCACGCCCGTGCGTGCACGACCCGCTTTACGAGACATGCAAACCATGCCCAACAGCAGAACCGTTTTGCCCAATTTGCATGTTCCCTTGGCCACATTTCAGAACGTGGAAAATGTTGGGGTTGCGATCCCCAGGTGCTTTCGGCTTTCTCACCTATGCCGACTCAGGCCCACACTCTTTGGAGCAGTGGCTTCAAAGTCCAAGATCTACCAAGATCGCCGCGGGCCCAGTTCGCAACGAACAAAGAAACTGAGCTAAGGTCGTAGTGCTTTCTTCTTGGATTCTCAACTCGTATCAAGGCAAAAGCCCATTGGCGTCCTCAATGTGGAAGGAAGCTGTTTGCAGGCACCTCATTTTGTAGTGACAAGGAATGAAGAGCCTGTTTTGCAACCACCAAGTTCACCTTCAATTGATCATTGTCATAGGTGATCCTGCTTGAACAGGTGCCTCCGTCTTGTGGCGGCGGCGTGCACTTTGATGCGCTGCTGTGTTGTCGTTGCCCGTGGGCAAGCATCTCTGCTATTTATGTAGATACATCTATATATATATATACAGACATTGCATGTTCCTCTTCATTGGCATGTTATGTGCTGGCAACTTTGACATCCCTGCCTGTTTTGCAACCCTGCGTTGTTCATTGACTCTGCGCTCGCCCTGGATGGAATTTCACAGGCACTCTTGCAGCAGCGGTGCACTGGAGCAGTGACTCTTGACTTCTTATCCTAGATCTGCCAAGATCTAAGTTCCAGCACCTCCATTCATACACTCAAAGTCTCAAAGTTGTATGCTGTTTGATGCATCTTTTTCAGAAAGGAAGCCGCATCCGCCGAAAGCGGCTACCATTTGCTGTTTGTTTTCTTTGGCAGGGAGTTCTGCAATTGGACGGTGTCGCACGTCCAGGTTTCCGCATCTTGCAGAACCGGCTGCTTTTGCAGGGCCAGCCAAGCACTGAGAAATTCACCACCTGCGCGGGATTACATTCGCTGCATGTATCCATTATTGAGCATCTTGGATGACCAACGCAGTGTAATTGTCAATTATCACCTATGGTCTTTTGAGTGTGTATGGAAGCCAGCATGCATGATTCATCATGGTCACATAGATGAAGTATCTTCTTGATTTATTGGCTGCCCCCGATGGCCCTCACTCCACAATGCAGCAGAGCAGCAGCTTGCCAAAGGGACGCATGAGCACGTAGCAGAGGCGCGGATTGGAATGCTCACTTAGTCGGCTTGGGACTCGCGAGACGAACTTCTATTGACAACCACGAGTGCATTGAGAAGAGATCATGAGCAGTAGACGTTCGTTTCAGTTGAACTTGACATGCTGCCCGAGAGGCACGCAGTTGTTGTCACTGTGAAGCATTCAGCTTAGATTATTTGGGATGGTTTGCGTTCCTATGTGGCAACCAGTCTATTGGGACCATGTTGCTTGCTTCACATTGTCATCCTTGCGGTTTGAAAGTGCCCAGTGCGCCGCACATGTTGCGTGTTCAGACTGAGTGCATTCCTTTTTACTGAATTTCTTCGTTTGAACACAGGCTTCCATGAGACCATGCTTGATTGTAGTGATTGAGACAGGATTTGGCGAATAAGTCAAGGCTAGTAGCAGTAACCTGTCAGGCTTACAAGGGCCTTGTTGGTTCTCACGAGGAAAGCGCTTGACTTACGTATGCATCGCATCATGCTAATGGGGTTGCCAGTTTGTTCTAAACACGTAGACGAAATCACCACGACAACGTTGCGCAGTTTGATTTGTGCGACGAAAAAAGGTCAGGACAACCAGCATGACAAGCAAGCAGCTGTGCATGCATAGTGCCAGGATCTCATATTAGGTTTGGATTAGGCTCGGTACCTGTGCATGCGCTGATCCCATCTTGGCTGTTGGCATCAGTTTTGCATTTGTCAGAGCACCAGGCAACAACACTCCTTCACCCGCTTGGATTGGCTGGTTTCTTGTAATTACTTTTGCTTTCGTGCCTTTTAGATTTCGTTGATACAGCACAGCTTACACAAGGGTGGTGGATGAGTGCAGTTTTCACATGCGACTTGTGTTTGCATGCGCAGGCACACACACACACACCACGCGCGCAGGCGCAGGTGGTGCCACGCTGCAAAGGCGAGTGCGCCCGCGCGGCCGACCCGCACGCACAGAGGCACTCACGCATGCCCCCCGCAAGCCCGCGCTTACGCACAGTTCTTTGTGCCGACCGGTGGCGGCATGACCTGTGTCGCCACCTTTCCTTTTGCCTTGTTCACGTTTGCATGACATGCCATATTTATGCGCGAGATTCGGAAACATGTTGTGGTTCAATCCAGGTATTGCCCGTAGCATCAGTGTTGGATACCACGCGTGTTGACCCAACCTGTTATCCCTTGTGGAGGGGAAGTTCATGAATTGCGTCAGAGCTCCACATTCTGAGGTTTGTCACCGAGGGTCTTGGCGTCGGGGCCTTGGCGAATCCGTCACCAATGCATCTCGTACCATCAGACACGCCAAACAGATCCCTGAAACATCCCGTCATGTTCGGGAGCGTATACGGCACCAATCGCACGTGCCGAGTTGTAGAAGCCCAATAGACTTAAAAGCCCAAAAGCCCAGGGACACTGAGCTCGTAAACAGCGCATGAAGTCCATTAGCCTGACTGGCCACTTCTGCTGGATACGTTGGGTGGTCGTGTCCCGGGCCATCTTGGGGCCTTAAAAGGTTGAAGACTTGGATTGAGACTGGCAAGCGGCACAGGTTGAAGGCTTGCTGGTTTGCGCACCTTCTGCGCACCATTTGGTTGGCATACTTAGTTGCACCACCGCCTTTACACTTACCACTGTATAAATCCAAGGTGTTGTGTTTCATCATGGTCCTCTACCCTTGATGGCTGTGCACCGCTAAGTGTGTTGGACGCACTGTTGAATGGCCGCATTTACTCATCCACCTGGAAGCTGAGATGAACATGCCAATCAGGATTATGTGCCAACAGCGAAGGCGGTACTCCCGCAATCAGTTCTGTTTTCGAAGAAATATTGCCCGGGTGGATGGAGACACTCTAGCCTGCTGCAACAGGGCACTCTCGGGCACACCAAGGTGACGACAGTCGGGCCAGGGCAGAAGATCCTCACTTCAGTGGCGCGGGGGAGCTTGGCGTGGCGCGTGAAAAGATGTCAAGATGTCATTGTTTTGGCATGTCTCTCGCAGATGGCACGGCCAGCTTTCAGCAATGCCACCTTCAAAAGTATTCCCCCCGCAGCCGAAGTGTTCACCAATATGTCCAGCAATCCATGGTCCATAGGGGCATGGCTACTCTAAATAAATGTTCAACATGTACCAGGCGACTTTTACCCATGTAGGTGGTATGGCAGATGTTGAAGGAATTCGGGGCACGCCCAGGTCCTTGGTGGGCAACCCCGGCCGCAAGCTGTCCTTCGGCCTGCTGAGGAGGGTGGATTATGAGTGGGCAACTCAGCGATGTTCTGAGCACCTTCCATCCGGTTTCAAACACACCCAGAAGTGCAGCGGTGGTCGGTGCAGTGGATTGTTCCAGCCTTGCAGGTTTTCCCATGAGTTTGACTCTGCTAGTTTGTTGGCTTGCAGCGATCGTGGGGTGGCCGGCGCTGGGCAGACTAGCCAGCCTTTTCCAACAAGCATTTGAAGAGGCTGCGCTTTTGGAAGATTGGCTCGGCGGCTGCCGTTGTGAGCGCACGTGTTCCAAGATTCATAGCTGGAGCAAGTAGCACAGCATGCGAAGTGGCTTGTGTTGGCGAGAGGGACAGTGGGGGTAAGCCATCAGTTTGTTATTTTCGCACCGCTTGACACTTGTACGTCAAGCAGCAAAGCCAGCATTATCGAGCGAAGAGGCGCTCTGGTTGTGGATTGGCCCAGCCTACTTTGGTTGGCGTTCCTAGCTATGACTGTGACCTTCCAATTCTCCAAGGCATGTAACAGGCTGTGCAAGGTTCGCACAGCGTAGGTCACAATGTGAAGGACTCCGCGAAAGTGAAAGTCGCCATGCAACAAGAAGTGGGAGGGCCATGTCAGAAGTACTCATTGGGAAAACCTCGAGTGCCCTGCTCTTTCGAAACGCCACCTGTTGACATGTTTCGAGGCTGAAGGGTCAATGGGTCCTTGAGGACATGCACAAGGCATGGCCGTGGGTTGAAGCCTTTGAAGCCTTTGAAGCGCAAGTCGTATCCGGACACCTGATGCCAATCCAAGTTTTGGCCAACCGAACTGGGGGGAGCGAAGAGGCCTCACATTACATGGGGAGGTTTGCCTGCCACAACGTGCTGAATCTGCCGTCTGCCGCGTTGTGTCGTCTCGACCAAGATTGCCAATGCAAAAGCCGTGCTTTGATCTTCATGGCTTTGTGCAATACTCGGAACCCCACACCAAGTGCTTGGCTTCGTGGTATTTCTTGGGCCAAGGCTTTGCCGTTGGCTTGTAGGTCTTCCTGGAGCCCTGTGATATGGTACCATACAGATATCAAAGCTTAATAGTTATGCGTGTGTAAAGATGTCTTATACAGGTGCATCTAGCACCTTTTATAGATATCAACCGTTTCTCACTCCTCGGACCCACCTTTCGCGGATTCGCAGGTGATGCCCATAGAGCTCGCGGTGCAGGAGCCGTCGCCTCAGTCCCTGTCCGAGCTTCGAGTGGCTGTTGCCTCGTCGAGGTCCTTGGAGGTCGAAGTCCAAAGTCGAATCTTCCAAAGTCTCGTTCGTCCGTTTTACGGTAGTTTGGTTAAACATAGCTGGGTTCCACTGGTTTAGATGAGTTTTATTCCATTTGCCAGGCCCTCTATATTTCTCCAAAAGGCCGCCTGAGTTCCAAAGTCTCGTTGTTTGTCCGTTTTGGTGTTAAGCTCCCGGTGTAAAGAGGGGTTGCGTGAGTGGCAGGTGCAAGGAGTGCTGGGTACTATGGCAGAACAGGGCAAAACATGGGTATGGGTGTTGGGATGCTTCTGGCAAAGGGGCATACGCTGCTGACAAAGGGGCATTTGCACTAATTGACTCCGTCCCATGAGTGAAGTTGCAGACAGCCCCTTGTTCATATTGGACATTCTGTGTGCATTTGAATTTTGTTCAGAAGCTGTGTCCAGTGTGCTGTGCCAGAAAGATGCCTGTTGCTTCCTTTGAATGCCCATGGAACCACACCTATGCTATAGATGAGTTACAGACGGAGCCAAAGTTGCAAATGTTTACGAGAGCCGACCGCTGTGTGTGTTTGCTTTGTTTTTGTGCGTGCGCGTGCGTGGGCATTGTCATCTAGAGACCTGCAGCATCCTTTCCTCTTCTACTTTGTGTATCCAATAAGTTGGTGCCTTATCACTGCGACTACGTTTGTCTCACTTGCCGCAGGCAAACCTCCTCACCACTGCGAGCTTCTGAAAGTGATGAAGCCAGAAGACTTCAATTCCAAAGCGGAAGAACTGATTACCCATTGCGTGCGCGTGCCTCTGCAGTGGATGTCCTTCCCCTTTGGCACCTGAGGGAGGACAGGCGGTACGCAGCTTCGGAAACGACGCCTAGGTCGCCTCACTTGGTCACGGATGCCTCCTTCGTTCTGGTCGAGGGTGATGTGATCAACGGCATGTTCCGGGTCGGCAACCCAAACGCGGGACTCTGCCTTTGTGCACCTCCCCTATGGCGAGTTGACCAGAGCAAGATTCCAAATCCTTGCTTGCCAGCATAATTAGATATTTGATATTTCATGTCCTCATGTTGTTTTGTTGTTGCAATCTTCGGTTTGACTTTCACAGCTTCCAAGCTGAGTGTCAGCCTCGAGGTCTGCCAGCTCCATGCGCTGTCTGCCATCCCTCGGCAGGCTTGCGTGGATTTGATCACCCGGGATCGTCGGCTTCTTGTTGGTTTCCAGTTAAAAACCAACCGGACAAAAGTTCCCCCCAACAAGAAACATCCATTCTGAAACGGTTTGCTTCTGAAGCCGATTGTTGCGAGGTTCTTTGCTTTAATCATGGCAAGTCTATAAGTCCCAGAGTAAAATCGGCAACTGGCGTACACGTCGCGGGAAATTGCAGATGACACTCTGTGTCTTCTCTCTCTGCATCTCTCACCCTGCCCCCATACATTGTGCGAGGCGGACTGCGTGACCAGATGTCAGTGGTTTGCTAGCTTTGGCGGTTAACCACATGGGCAAGGGCAAAGCGCTCAATTGTTTTGAACACATTCCAGTGGTCAAAGTCAATGCCAGTGGTCAAACTCAACTCAATGTCCTTTTTTTTGGGGGGGGCTAGCTTATGACCCATCCGGATGAGCAAGCACGTGAATGTCTGGTCCGGAACCCAAGTTTGCCCTGCTAAGCGAGGTGATTGAACTGGCATTGAGTTTGACCCCTTCAACTGCCTGGAAGGTGAGCATCGAGAAAGACCAGCTGCCCAGAGAGGTTTTGACTGCCTCACTGACAGATGAGCAGCTCAAGATGTTGGAGGACTGGGCGGACGATACAGGTTGATTTTTCTCTGCATGGATACGTGCCACGGGCAACCAGCAATAGACCAGGTTTTGGCCTCATCAGTTATGTGGGCTCAGCATGCCCCTGTGTGTCTTGCGTGTCGGCAGAAGCAGAATCACACACAACACGATGACGTGCTTGCACCATATCAGAAACTGACATCTACACTTTCAAGGGTTGCACAACCAGCAAGTCACCATTACAAGACCCCAGGCTTTGCGCGAATGATCAGTTGCCGCGGGTCGGATCCAACGTCAACCTAAGGTATGCCATGTTGGGGCTCCAGATCAGTTGATGCGCTCATGGCCGATTCAATGGTTGGCCTTGGCCGGTTGTGTGTAGCCTGATTCAGCTTTGTCTCTGTCAAGTGGCAAGTCTAAAGCATACACTAGCCTTTGTTCTGAAGCATGCCAAAGTTGATTCATCTCAGGATTCTTGCAAGGAGTGGCATAGCCAGCTCATGTAACGATTGGAGCTAGCAGCAGGATCATTCGAAGACCTGGAGCTTTACGATTGTCTTATTATGTGAATATGTAAAAATAAATACATATACAATGTACAATATGTGTGTGCTCATTTGGCCTAGTGTGATGGCCATGTTGACAAATGATTGGATGTTTGGTGTCAAGCATATCAATCGAAAACACCAACATACTACTGTAGGCACTTCGGCCAAATCGCCTTCTGAAGCAGGTTCCCATGATCGATTCTGGATGAAATGTGACGAACAATATGACGCATTGTTTGCAAGCAGACTTGCGAGTCTTCGTATTGACAAGGTCGTTCCGATTCAAATCGAACAAAAACAAGCAGATCGTTGTTGCGGATGGTCCCGAGTCAAGACTCATGCGGAGTGGCCTTTGCCATACCTTGCTCGTTTTTGGTTCTATCTTCTGTATCAGGCGGGTTTCAACATGTTTCAGATGACGGGTACCCGTGGCGTATGTCGGGTGAACCAGCCCAAAGTTGCCACACAGGTGCAGGAGCAGGTGAAAGAAGGGATGTACGTGGTCCTCAGCGAGGCCAGGTGCTGAAGTGATGGTGGGCATTTGTCCAAGGGACGCCTCACAGCTTTAAAGGCAGCTGGGTGTCAATCAAGTGCCAATCAAGTTGACCAGACCAGCAGAAGCGGCGCACGCTGTTGGGCAGAACAAGTAACAGCGGCAATAGTGGACAAGATTACAACTGGATCCACGGATCGAACAATCTGGTTGTGGGTCAAAATTAAACCATCAGGGGACCCAGGTTTTAGTCCATGTTTCCATGTACCAGGGTTCCATTTCGGGTACCTATGTTTGACCCACAGCCAGCTGTGAAAGAGAAGCCATTAGGAGCGGTTAAGTTTGAGACCACCTACATGACTTCAGGACAGTTGTAAAGGAGACTGAACTGCTCTACGGCCATGGCTGACAGGACCAAGCCACGCACATATGCCGCACATTGGCCGTATTGTGTCCAGGTATCCCTCCAGCATGGCTATTACATGTCGCTCAGTCCAAGCATTGGCAAGCAGTGTTGTTTGCTGCGACGATTGACTGAAGCATAGGCATGAATGTCTTTGGATGTTTGTGCTGAGTGATTGGGACGGATGTGAACGCATGCAGTTTGATGATGTAAGCAATATTAGGATACAAGCTGCCATTTTCACAGACATTGGTTGTTTTCATTGCGAGTCGCCTGTCCCCCTTTTCATTGCCCCCGAGACCGTTGCAGCCCCGCTGGGCAAATCGCCGCTGAGTTGAAGTCGGGCCATGGCCCCATTTTTATGCCATGTGAGCAGAACAAAACGAGCTGGGTTCGAATCGAACCCCAAGCGGCGATCTTAATAAGAACCAACAGGTTTATGAAGTGACAGCAGCAGCAAGCGCAATGCACAGCGCCCATCATTGAAGCTAGGCCCCCTCATGACAGGTGCTATACAATTTGTGATTAAGGACGTTGAGTGATGTTTAGTGTTGGTTCCCTTGCAACACCACACCATACCATGCCTGGGGAGGACCCTAGTTCCCCCCCCCCCCCCACACAAACAAACACACGCACAAACACACAGAGCTGCATCTTATTTGGCTAGCATTGGCAGGTTCACTTGGACAGCGCCCTTACCTCAGGGGGCGATTGAACATTCAGATATCGCAGAAATTGTGACGCGGCAACGTGCCGAAATGAAAGGCGGCTCTCTTTTCAAGGCACCAGTGAAGAGAAGACTCTATTCACAACAGGAGAATAGGAATCAGACCTTGTTTGTCCTGCGATGCCGTTTTCTGCACTGCCAAGCTTGAATAGCTTGAAATCTTGGGCACATTGTGGGAGGGATGCCGAGCTTCAATGAGTTGGAGTCGCAATGATTGACTGCTTGCTGAAAGTGGCTATTCGTTTGACATCAGAGGGTTCAGGTGATGCATGTGTTGTAATATGTTTTAATCCATTGCCGGTGTTCTTATTTTATCACCTATATGTTGTTGCATGTTGGTGTGATTGTTACTGGAGGCGCCGCTCCAATCAGGCATTGTGATTGCAGTGCGATGCAAGCCGAACCATAGCTTTGCCAAAGTGAGATCCGGAGTGAATAATCGAAGAATAAACTCCCCAACCAAGACCAAACCCGAACGACTCCTTTTTGAAGCACCACTTTGTTGGCTTTTAATGAGCAAGTTTTGCATGTTGCAGTGCACACATGGATCTTTACACGTGAATCCACAGCAGCCATCAGAGGCTGGCGGCATGCGCAAGATGCAGTCAGCTGATGGCGCTCAAATTTTGAGGGAACCAGCTTATGTCCTCGGCGAGTCCCGAGCGGCCGCGTGGAGTCTTCATTTTTGCTTCCTGCGCGTTTTGGCCATTCCGTGAGAGAATCACAGTTTGGTGATTCGGATGGTGCAATGTCCCCTGTAGATCGCAGTGTGGTGCTTGTGTCATCTAAAACCCTTGAATCACCAGTGGCCTAGGGCCAAGTGCAATTCTGACCCGGACCTGCAGGTCCAAATCCTTGACATGCTGGAGATCCTCTTCCAAGGCCAGGTAGCAGCAGTGTGTGTGTGTGGGTGTGTCTCTGTGTGTGTGTGTGCGTGCCTGTATAATGGCTACATATATATTGCATGATAGATATAAATGTTAGTTTATGGAATTGCTTCCAAAGAGCTGATGATGATGGCCCAAAGAACCTGGGCCATTGAGACATGATGGATTGCCACAGATTCCTGTTTGACCGATGCAAGACTTGAGAATCGCAGCGACACAACAGGAACTTACCAGGAAACGAGTTGAACATCCTTGCTAGAAACCTTCGGCGCCCCATATCAGAAGAAAGGAAATTAAGAAACGAAACAGATTGCGACATTGGCTGAAAAATGCGCAAATGACAGATTGGCAGACTTAACCATAATGTTCTGGATAACTTCGCACTTGAGGTAAATGTCAAACGTGAATCAAGCAGCACATGTGTCACAGGTAGAGCTTGCCAAAGCAGTTGTTATTTTATCTTGTTTCGAGCAGGGGCATGATCAAATATCTTCGCAACAGGGCTACGGCCTAAAGTATAAAAAGAGAGAGAGAGAGAGAGAGAAAAAACAAACACTAGAAGACGGGTGGCCCGAAAGCATTTTCCATGACAGGCAGCCTGAATCGGTCCACTTTCCCAACTATGCATTTCACTGTCAACTCTGTGCATGCCTCTATGCAGTTCACTGTCCACTTTCCCTGTGCATGCATCTATGCACTTCACTCTGTACTTGCCCTATGCATGCCTCCATGCATTTTACTGTCTACTTTCCCTGCGCATGCATCTATGCACTTCACTCTGTACTTGCCCTATACATGCCTCTTTGCATTTCACTGTCTACTTTCCCTGCGCATGCCTCTACGCATTTCACTGTCTGCTTTCCCTGCGCGCATTTCACTGTGCACTCTCCCTAAGCATGCCTCTATGCATTTCACTCTGTACTTGCCCTATGCATACCTCTATGCGTTTTACTGTGCACTTTCTCTATGCATGCCTCTATGCATTTCACTGTCTGCTTTCCGAGTTTGCAGCCGGAGCTGCGGGAACGTACTTCGCGTACTACTTTTGTACTCAAATGCTATGACTTTGCAGCCGGAGCTGCAGGGACGTTCTTCGCGTACTACTTTCGTACCTAAAAGTTGCGACTTTGCCGCCGGAGCTTCGCGTACTACTTTTGTACCTAAAAAATGCGACTTTGCAGCCTGATCCCTGCAGACGGCCGCGTGACCGCGAAGATATGCGAATGTTCACACGGGACCACCGCGAGAGCGATCTGACACGCACAGTCTCCACACAAGGTCGCGTGCGAGCCGCGATGATTCGCACGGGACCAGAGGGTCGCGTGCGCCGAGCAGAAAACGCAGAAACAACGAGTTTTTGCACCTCGACCACGCCGATCCCCGCAGAGGGTCTCGCGCACCGCAAGAAAACGCAAAAAAAAGAAACTTCTGTTTTGCACATCGACCACGCCATCCCCGAGAGGTGTCCCAAACAGAGAGCTGTGCCACTAACTTGCGGACCCTTGTTAGAGAACCTAGCAATGTGGGACACCCCTTGCAAGCTGCAACGAAATGCAGCCAAAATCTGGCTTCCCTGTTAGTAGGCCAAACACCACTATCATCAGTATTTGGGATGACACATGTCGAAAGTGTCTTCCTTTCACATCCCCAGCATCACGCTGGGGCTTCTCCGCTTCTGGTACAGAGCCACGTCCTTTTTTGCAGCTCCATGTCTAGGCAAACCTGGTTGTTGCAGCCAAAGCAGTAACGCTGCCATGGCAAAATAGCATCTCAGACTTCACGATGAGCATGGTTCTGCATGTGTCATGTTGCTGCCAGCTGGAACGTCTTTTCATGGCCTGCAGTTCCGAGCCCATGAGGAAGTCGGCAGGTATTGATCCAAGATGCAAAACACCTAGTTTAGCGCGCAGTGTGTTGTTTTTGCATCTTGGCAATGTCAACATTAGCCAGACGATCGCCCAAGCGCAATTGTATTTGAGTGTTTTCTTCATCGCGCCGACTGGTCCTGTTGAAATAGCTTAAGCGGTTTGTCGGAAACTTTTACCGTCGTCAAACGGACGTGATCAACCGTAATGTGTTTTGCACCAAACTGCACCATTGGCGCACGCCCTGACGCATTGCTGACGCAGCACGTGGGACGCAACACGGCGTGCTGCACGAATACATTTCGACCATTCTCGCCAACATTTTGCATACCTGGACCACGTCTATTCGACCACGTTTTTTCGTTTCCCTAGTTTAGTTCCATTTTCAGTTGGAGCCTCTTTCACCCTAACCATATCCACCACACAGACTTGGAAGGTGGGGGACAAGTTTGAACTTGTATGCGCACAGAAGATCACAGAAGTAGCAGGACTGACATGTCCATGTTGTGGCCACGGCCTTACACGTCGGTCAGCAGGGTATAGTCAACATGTTCGGACTGCCGCAAAATGAGAGTGGTTTCCAGCATGCCCGTGCAATCCGGTGCCATAGGCTACGAAGCTGCCGGTCCGCACGGGACCAAGTGCGTAGCCTTGCTTTTGTGGGGGCTTTTGTCAGACATAGAGGCTCAGAAAGGTTATGGATCATCAAGAGCATAACATGGCCTTGAACCGGGTATGCCTCGAAGTCCAACACATTTCAAGAGTTGGCGACCCCTTTGTTCACGAGGTGTCATCCGTTTCACCAGTGGCCTGCGCTGCTGTGATTCTGGCACACTGCTTCCTGCCACAATTTTGGCACTTTGGCTCGCTCAAGAAGGCGCTCAACATCCGCTCTTGGATCATTGCCTTCAGGGAGGAGGAGCAGAGTATGGCACAAGCAGCAATCAAGAAAAGGTCTCCAGAAGAACTTCAACAGTTCTCAGGTGTGTTGACACACCTCGACCATCTTGTGGCTCTCCCCTTGATATGAGTCAACCTCAGAATTATCAAAGACCACTTTATCAACGGCGTTTCATTCAATACTGGTTTTTGCATTTTCCTTGGAGAACGATAGGGGACTCACAAAAAACGATACCCCTGAACATGGTTTGTGCTGGACCTTCGAGCTGGAGCTGCCGAAGTCTAACTTGTGTACCGTGCCTGTACTGAAAGCTGCGACTTGCGACCTGGAGGTTGCTGCCAGCAAGCAAAAGCCGCTTAAACTGACAAGTGACCGCCGCAAGCTGCAACCTTCGAGCTGGAGCTGCCGAAGTGTATCTTGTGCACTGCGCTTGTGGTGAAAGTTGCGACTTGCGACCTTGAGGTTGCTGCCAGCAAGCAAGCCGCCAAGACTGATATATGATTACCGCAAGGCAGAGAAGGCTATTGTGTGTTTGCTTGGCTCTAACAGCTTATGGAAAATTGTGAAAATTTTCGTCACGCGACACACGCCCAGAACGATACCCCGGTCGATACCCCGTCGATACCCCGAGCATTGGCCCGAGTTGCAAATGTGAGGCCTAGTGCATTTGCTTACAAAAGACTACGCTTGTGGTTCCAGTGCTGTGTTTGCGTAGAAAGTTTGTCGGGTGCTTTTCGAGTTCGCGCGGCGCTATAGGGGTTTTCGTAGAAAGTTTGTTGGGCACGCGTGGTCACCGCGAAGAGGGTTCACCGGGCACTTTCCAAATTCGCACGGAGTCGCAGCGAGGGCGCTGACACGCGCAATCCTCGCAGAGGGTTCATTGGGCACTTTACGAATTTGCACGGCGCCACAGCGAGAGCGCTTGGGCGCGCAGGGTCACTGCAGAGGGTTCACCGGGCACTTTCCAAATTCGCATGGCGTCGCAGCGAGGGCGCTTTGACACGCGCAATCCTCGCAGCGGTTTCATTGGGCACTTTACGAATTTGCACGGCGCCACAGCGAGAGCGCTTGGGCGCGCAGGATCCCTGCAGAGGGTTCATCGGGCAGTTTTAAAATTCGCACGGCGTCACAGCGAGGGCGCTGTGGCACGCGCAATCCTCGCAGAGGGTTCATCGGGCGCTTTACAAATTCGCACGGCGCCACAGTGGGAGCGCTTCGAGGCGCGGATCCCTGCAGAGGGTTCATCGGGCACAGCACGAACACGCGAAACGTGGAGAACGATAGGGGACTCACTAAAAGTAGAATGAATACACCCCACACAGCAAATATAGACGCTGGCTCATATACCGATTCATTCAACAGCCGAATTCTGTCCTTGTTGTGATTATTGTCACACAAGATGTTTCCAACACTCAATGGGTTGTGTTGCTCGATTGCGTTGATGTTGGAAGCCTCTAGGAGTGGAACATATCCACAAGCCACGCACACCTGCCACATGCAACTGCTGAATGCCCACCGGCCAGATCCTGTAAGTGATTCTTCAATTTAGACAATGTCCTTTGAGTCGACATGTTGGCAGCCATAGCATCATTTGTGTATGGGGTTTGCCGGGAGAGGCTGCTTTCTTGGATAAGTCCCGATTAAGGGCTCCATCTTGGAATCTAAGTATTTCGGCTATTCAAAACCAATCCCGCATGCCAGACATGTCGGATTGGGAACATCGAATCGAATTCCCATTTTGAAGACCCGCGGCAGGATTCCGATTTCGCCTTTCACCTTTCGACGTCTGGACGTCTGGACGTCTCGGTCCAAGGCCGGCTGGGTACATCTTCATGGGGAACTTCAGCTCCCGCGCCTTCGTCCCCACCGCTGCCGGAGCCGGGGATCCCAAGCCGATGCCCGGGCGCCGCGAGGGCCGTTGGCTTTACAGGCGGAGAGAAGCGGGAGGCAGCTACAGGTGGCCTTGTTTTAGGAAAGTTGGGTCGAAAATTGCCGGCGCTGGTTGCAGGTTGGTTCTAATTTGCCAGTGCCATCGGTTTTACCCAAAGGACACCTATGGGGAGGCATCTTGGATGAAGCTGTGTCAGTCGCATGAAGAGTCTTTGTAAGGAGATGCTATGTGAATGGAGTGCTTCTGGGAGGCAAGCCGAGGTTGATTTGAATTGTGCAAGCCTGGCGACTTTTTCCCCTTTACGTAGGTTTCAAGGCCTCTAATGTTTTTGGGCCCCACCGAGGTTGGTGAGAATTTCAAGCCAACCGGAGGTTTCGAGAATTGGGACGGTTGTTTCCGCTTCACAGCTTTATCCAAGCAGCTTGATGCTTAGCGCAAAAACATCTCAAGGGATCAGTTCGGCTTTTTGACCAAACAAGTCCCCCGGAACAGCCAAGGAAAGGATTGGCCACTTCAGCGGCATCGACTTTTGCTACGCAAATCCATGGCCTGAGGTCCAGGCCTACCGTGAAGGATTCGATCGGCTCAAGTTCATGATGCGCAGTGCCCAGACTGCGTTCTGTGCCCCACTGATGGGCGAGATTGGTGTGGGTTCTTGCGGGGTTTCTTTGATTGGACCTCGGATTCGCCAGATTCACTAATTAGGCACCCGATGCTAAGGCAAAGGTGTCGGCACTTTACTGAATGCAGCGCGCACACATGCGCGCACACCTCACACACGCGGCTTCTCTTTAGTGGCTACTTTGGAGTTTGACTGGCCTATTTCCGATTGGTTTGGGTGGCGAAGCAACTTTCAGTAATCCAATCTGAAAAGTCGTGCGCATTTGCCGAGTGCAGCTCTTATCATCGTAGTGCCCCTGGGTCTTGTGCCAGCAATGCTCTTGTATCAGAAAGTCGTCCATCTTTTCAATTGGGACCACAAAACCGCCGACTTATCAGAAACACCCCCCAAACTGTTCTGCGCTTGGTCTCGTTGCAATTTGCCCAGTCGCACCGGGGTTCAGGCCGAGCCTTATGGGTCCCATGGACTCGTGCTCAAGCAAGCTACCCAAGATCCCACTCCAGTCTCCCAGCTTCAGAACTGCCATTCCCCCCAAGTTTGGGCAGTCGCAGGTTTTTGGACCGGATTCCTGAGGCGGAGCTTGGAGGCTCACGTCGCAAAGGGCACCCGCTTCGTCTTCATCCCTGGGCCCATGGACCCGGGGCCGCAGACGCTGCCTGGACACCCAGAGCCTCGGCTTCGGGCACAATGGGTTGGTCTTGAATTTCAACAACTGTTGTTGGCAAATGTTTAGGTTTTTCGGTGCTTGTTTTTGGTGCAACAGCTCGACGCGCCACTCAATGTGTCTTCTCCAGGGGGACGGAAACGAACCTACAGCAAAAAAACAGACGCGCTGATCACGGGACGCCATAAAGTTAGTTATCCACAAGGTCTTCAAAACGTAATGACTTTGGCGCAATCTCAATCTCTTGAGGCTACGCACCCGCTCCGTTGCTCCACGTGTATACCACGTAGCCGCTGAAGCAAAAACCTTCCGACCTCCAAAGCTCCCGTCGGACCGTTCGCGTAGATCGATCGAGAGGCCCAAGCCTGCGCTGCCGGACTACCTCACCGCAGATTTGGCCAAAAGCATCCCCGGCGCGGCCGCTGCCCCGGCACGGGTGGGGAATGACAAAGTGAGAGCCCAGGATGACTTGAGCAACTTTAGTCAATGTTTGACAAAAGGAACAGGAAGTCCGGACAAAAGGAAATTGGACCTTTGCCTTGTATCCCAGTGAATAGCACGTTTACGGTGTGTTCTCACTTAGGCTTCCTTGATGGAAAGTCTTCGCGGTAGTGTGGAGAAGGACGATAGTATGTAGCTCAGCATAAAATCTACCCTCCTCGTGCTTCATTTGTTTCGCGCGATTTGATAGTCACCGGCAAGGACTCCGGACCCAGTCAACTGGTTGTGTTTGCACTTTGATGCTGCCAATTGCTCTTTTTGGGCCGCGAGCACTTGTGCATTCGCTTTCCCACTTGGCTCAAGGGCAAGCAGGACCAAGAATGACGACATGCAGCTTTGCGTGCTGAAAGATATGACGTCTCCACTGTGCAAACTTGGTGTGCATTCCCAGTTTAGACTGAGGAGAATGCGCAAGCCGCATTGATATCCTGCTCAGCACCTTTGTTTTTTGCCTTAGCCAGGCTTCAAGCCTTCAAACGGCTTGCCGAACCATGCGAAAGCTTGGCTGGTGGGTGGATGTGCGCTGCCACGCGCGGGGCCCCAGGTCTGTGCCCACAGCCTGGCCAGAAGACTGCCAAATATGAAGCTCAGCACATTTGTGCGTCGAGCAACACGTCCAAGCGGTTCTCAGATCTTTCTTGCCGAGGTCCCCCAGTAGTGCCCTTTTACCCTTTTTTGGGGGAGGGTTCCCCTACTAAAATAGACTACAAAAAACAGGGTACCCTTATTCTAACCCCCCTACTGGAGGACCTAGTTGCTTTGTGGCCAGTTTCTCCGAGGCGCACAAATGGCTGCCCTTGGAGTGGGGCATTTGGCGGCCCCGCTTCTGCGTCGTGGAGCAGGCCAGCAGCAGCCTCGAGGCAGACCTCATCGTCTTCTTCTACCATAAGGAAAACCGGTCGCACACGGCCGTGGAGGCAGCCCTCGAAAGCAAATGGAACAAGTCGGTTCTGGCAAACAGCCAGCGCACACCAGCTTAAACTGTATTGTGGAGTGAGTTCTCCATTCGGGCCAATCCATACTGTCTCATTGTTTTGATTCTTCCTTCTCTGCTTCATCTTCCAAAGGGCGAGGTCCACGGAAGCTTGAGCTTAGGTAGAGCGATCCGATCCAAGTTTCCGGCGTGAACTTTGCGTTCAAGAAACAGGCCATTGCAGAACGGCTTCCTCTTAAGGTTGGCTGCTTTTGCAGTCTTCATTGCTCAAAAGGTGTTGTGTAGTCGTTCCCGATCCACGCAGGACCCACACAAGTGTTTGAGTATCGGGGGGGAACGCATTTGCTTGCAAGTTGAAGGAGCCTCCAGCCGTTCTGCCCTTCAAAGATGGTGTCCGTCCGGCGGTCTATTAATGAAGCTGCTTTGGTTTGCTTTGGCGCATCTTCCAAATTGCACGAGGATCAAACAGGTTTGCAGGATAATGTAGTCGCCGTGCGCATCTTGATCAGCAACCCCATGTTTTGGACCGCTCAAGGAACCACAGGGAACACACTTGCCTAACTTGGAGGCACCACCCACATCCGGAAGCCGGGAAGCAAACCCATGCGGAGGAGCCGGGGCTTTTCCCAGTGTCTCCACTGTCCATGGTGCTGGTGGACGGCTTGATACATGTGCCTTTGCTCAAGGCCGCCTGGGTAGTTGTGCCACGCCCCCTGTGCAGTTGCCCAAACATATGGTTGATCGACTGTTGTTTCTGTTGGCATGTGCCAAAATCATCTTTGGAAGCCCCGCGCGTTTGGCAATGTGTTTGGCGGCGGTTTCGTGAAGCTACATGCAACATTCTTCGGTGGCTGAACATGTTCGGGGCCTGCCAGGCTTATGCGCGACCCCACCCCGAGCACGCGCGCGCACATAGCTGTACCGCAAGCTCTTCCTGGTTTCGGCAGACAGCCACATTTGGACATACCCCCTGCGATGTGACTGGATCGCCAATGCTCCCAGTGGCCGAGGCACAGAACATTCATGACCCGTGCTTGGTGACGCTCACTTACCGCTGCTCGGCGGGGATCGGAGCCGGAGCCACCCGAGCCCACAAGGAACATCCTTTAGTATTTAGACAAGGCCCTCAGATGAGCTTGGAGTACATGAGTACTAGTCCTAGTGTTCATTACTGAATCATTCTAGTCTTCGGCACGTGTTCTTTACTTTGGTCTTCGCTGTTTTAGGAAGACACTGTCACCAGCTTGCATGTGTTTATGAAACATAGGCATGGCTGCTGATGGCTGCGAACCTTTCACCAAAGCAAATAGGCCACATGATCTCAAATATTGGGATGTGTTGCTTGCGCACTTGCCCAAGCACTTTTGGCCCCAAGCTGAAATCGAAATGTGTCAGCCACATGACCTCACATGTTTTATCTAGGTCCCCCAGTAGTGCCCTTTTACCCTTTTTGGGGGGGAGGCTTCCCTCAAATGCACAAAACCGAGTAAAAGGTGGATACCAACTTCTTCCAACCTCCAAATCTGGAGGGACCTAGTTCTGATTCTTTGATTCAGGCATTCTCACGGCTCACGGCCCGAGTCCAGTCCGAGTCGCGAGCTCGAGGCTGCCGGCCGGTGGCCTGGATTCGGCTCCCGCAGCAGCATGCGCTCCAGGGGCTGTTCGCCATGTGGGGCGCCTCAGGGCACCACGGCCGCCATGTGGTGGAGGTTTTCCATGTTATCCTTTTCAGCTGGGTTTAAAAAGGAAAAGGCGCCAATGACACAACCATGTGTGTTGTTTCAGCTGAATTTACAAGGGATCCCAAAAGGAACGTGCCAAAATTTGGAGGTCCCTTGTTGACACATACCCATCTTTCAAATAGTTTGAAACGATGCGCTATGGTGCTCTTGTGAATGAAAGATGCTTGGGCCAGGGCAAGCGGCTCTTTGTCAGTCTTTTGCCTTGTGTGTTGTCACGCAGCGTGTCAACGAGCTTGGGCCTTTTTGTTTGTTTGACCTGGAGACAAGGAGGCAACCTGGAGTGTTTTTGGACTTGTTACTTCTTTACGGCCTTGAAAGGCGGGGAGCCCCATAGGGGCACCGACACCTTTGGTTTGTCTAGGTGCTTCCTTTCTTGGATGGTTCCAAAAGCAAGATATGCCCTGGAGGGTTCCCCTGAATGCGGCACCCTCCAAAATGAGCCTTTGTCCGACGCAAGACCAGCCTTTTTCAACCAAAACCAACCAAAATCAAGCCAAGGCCAACCCCAAATCCACAAGTTTCAACAAATCAAGCAAAACCAACCCACAGTGCCCCATCAGCACAAAACCCACGGATCAAAATCAACCAAATGTGTGGTTCACAGGCTGCGAAGCGCCCGGTCGCGGGAGTGGCCGGACAGGCAGCGCCTCAGCCGGGCCCCGAGAGAAGATTTGGTTTTCTCCAAAAGGGTTGCTACCATAGGTGTCCTTTTTGGTTCCTGGTTTACCTGGTGGTTGAATCACCTACCAGGGCCATCTATTTCCCCTAAACTACCCAGTCATGGTCAGTCTACCCTTTTGCAACAATCGTGGAAGCTGACGGCAAGGCTATGGATCATAAGTGTCCTTTCAGGCGAGTTGGCTGTGGCTCAAAAAGCCGGTACCCAAAATGGAATCCTGGTAAGTGGAAACATGGACCAAAACCTGCGTAACCCCTCCTGTTTAATTTTGAGCCGCACCCAGTTTGGTTAGAAAAAGATGGGTTCCGCTGGTTTAGATAAGTGTTCTTCCATTTGCAAGGGCCAACTATTTTGCCAAAAGGACACCTATAATGCTTGTTTACAGGAAAGCCACCAGTCTTTCCTTGGGCCAACCAATGCTGGTGGACATGTGGACCAATGCTGAAGGAGAGAGCTGAATACGTGCAAACGTGCAAACAGTTGTAGTGAACTGCTCTTGTGCTGCAGCAGATGGGGGAGTTCTCAAATTTGAGACCCCTGCAGATGGTTGGTTTGCCTTGCTGTAGTGTAGGATAAAAGCGAAGTGTATCACAGTTGAACAGACCGGGTTTGTAGAAGTGGTCGTCAGCCTCTAGATATGGGATGGAACAATATATGATGGTGAATGCCGAACGTTGCTCAAACCACAACCTTGACAACAGGAGAATGGCATTGTTTGTTTTACCCTCCCACCCCAAAACAAATGTTTGTTGGTATCTTGGGAAAATGGACAGCGCTTCTCATGGGAGGTTTGCTATTGGCCACGCAGCGGGGTGGTTCAAGTTGCATCATGGTCAGGATTCAGTTTGACAACCGGACCAAAAAAACCGTCTGATTTTACTCCAAAAACCGACCATGGGATTCAGACTATTTCAGTTTTCAACACCATGGGATTGAGTTTTGGCACCCTGTCTGTTTCTGACTAAACCCTTTTCAGATTGGTTGCAAACCAACAGGAAAAGGAGGGGTTGTCAAACTTAGCGGATCGGTCCTTTTTGGTATTAACAAGGCGGAGAGCACCGGCGTCAACAGGGTTCAAAAAGGGGCCCTATTTCTTATCCACCCCGCGCATCACGATGACCCTTTGCTTCTAGATCCTTTGTCGCAGCCTTGTGACAACTTCGCCGACCACTTGGTCTTGTTCCCTGCCTTTTCGCCCAGGTGAGAAGGAGACCGAGCTTGCGCAACGCGAGGCGGATGTTTTTCTGGCCATATGCTCAGGGAAAAGCAGACTCACGCACGTATTGTCTACTTTGGTATCAATGTCTCCTGACCAGTCAGTCCGCGGCTGGATGTGTGTGTTTCCTTATCCCTGCCCGTGGTCTGACTTTCCGTTCCATCACTGATAGCTTGGGTGAATTCCTGTTTTTCAAGCTACCCAGTTTCTGCCAGCAATCGGGCTCTCTGGACAATATGCGTGTCCAGATCGATTTGAAGAGGCGACTGCGGCCCAGAGAACGGCCCTTTTTGTACTCCAGCATGTCAGAGTGCGTCAATAATTTCTGGCACTGACTTTACACGCTTGAACTGACCGAGTTTGACTGCAACTCAAGTCCTCGGTTATTGCGTCGTACTATCCTTTGTTGTTTTGCTGTCTTCCAATACACTCATGCACGCGCATTTTCTTGTTCTGGCACATGGCTTGGAAGTTCTCTGACCCTTGTGCTCTCTGACACCTGTGTCGAGTTCATCTTGACCGACCGCTTTACGCTTCGGCCCCTCAGCATGAAATCGGAGAGATGTGACATGGCTCGCGGCAGGCAAGACTACGGGAGCGCGAGCTGGCCCTCCAGGAGGCACCATCCGTTTCAATCAGAGAGCTGCTTTCTCCCGTGTTCGCAGCCCTTATTGTACACAAGTGCTGTTCCAAAGGTAGTCGTTGGGCTGGATGAAGCATCCTTCATAAATCCCTACAGGTAAAGAATGTCAGTATCTCTATCAAGGGTGGTTTTTGTCAGTTGACGCGGTTAGTGAGGCTAAGAAGGGCAGGCTTCACGCCTCAAAACCAGGGTATGGATTCATCGGTTTCCTTTGAAAGACTGGCGCCAAAATGGGTCTCTTCAGCCACATCATGTTGCCAACCTGGGAGCCTCTTGGTTGGGCCTTGTTCGGCCCGTTGAATGCCCCTGTCGGTGAACCTATGATGGGAGGAGACCCGCGAGCCCTCTCTCGCAGAGAGCTCGAGCGAGGAGGAGGAGCCCTTCGGGTGAGCCCGGCATGCGTAAGCACCGCAACTTGCCTGGGGAATTTGGGAACGATTCTGCTTGAACCTTTCCTCCATTCCCCGTTTTGGAACCTCCAACGGGGACAGATTCCATGGAAACGGCCAGTAAAAATGCGGTGACCCCTGCTTTTTTAGCAGGTACTGGGGTGTTTGCAGCTGGCCGCATAGGCTTGCAGTGCGGTGTCCAGAGCCAGATTCAAATTTATCACAGGCTTTGGGTCAAGAAGGTGTTTGAAGTGTTTGCCTCTTTCTCCCTGGAGCGGTTTGAGGTGCACCAGTGCTCACGTGCACGTTTTGATGTATATGTATTCTGTGACCAAATCGTACGTGGGTGTGTGTGTGTGGGCGTGTATGCTGTGCGTGCACAATCTTCAGCATGTCCCGTGCTTGCAAGTCACTGTGTGTCAAAGCTAGAGTAAGTCGGGGCTATCTGAAATTGTTGTTGGATATGCCTGTAGATCAATTATACTATAGAAGGCCTCTGAATGTTCACATCTCCATTTGACATTTGACTGACGGGTGCACAAGTGCACAATGCGATTCGCCAGGTCGAGCGTGGTTCTGGATTGGCCCCTCTCACGGTCAGAGAAGCAGCTGCGCCTGGTGACAGTGCCTTGGTTTAATCAGCCAGTTGTCAAGTGGCACACTTGGTTCCGTTTGTGTTTGGTTTTGGTTTTCTTATTTGCCAACCAGCAGCAAGAGTGTTTTTTTGTTTGCCTTATGGTTGTTCTTTGATTTTCTCTGGGCGTGTCCATGAGACACGAAGAGACAACAGGGTCTCGTCAACTTGTACCCCAATGTTCACTGAGATTGGTTCAATCAGCTTCCGCGAGCTCGCTTGGCTTGTATGCCCTCACACAAAATGGTCGAAACAAACCTTGGTGGCCTTGATGGCCAAGGAACTGACGGCTTTCTCCATCGCCACAATTTTAGCAACTGAAAAACACCAGATGGAATGTGGAAAGTGAGAGAACATCGTTCACTCCAAACTCAACTCAAGCCCTGAAACTGGTTGCACACGAAACCCGTTGTGGCGAGCCCCTTGACCCATTGTGCTCGCCGGTCCGAGACCATCGACCGACAACGCATCGCCGCCGAAGCGTCGGCGCGGCGCACGGCGGCGACGCGGCGCTACTCGGCGCCGGCGTCTTCGGCGCCGGGGTCGGCCCGAGGGCCGCGCGTGGCAGTGGCGACGGCGACGGGGTGCTGAGGCGTTCATGGGGCCATGGAAGGGGTTGGAATGGACGGCATGCAGTTTGGCGGGCGTGGATGATTATCCCTCTTACAACTGTGGTCGTTTCCCATGGGACACATTGTGCAATTCTGGCGCAGGACAACTTGCGACAGCACAAGGAGTATTTGAGCATGCCCGAATCCAGATGTAGCATCGCACACACTCAGCACGGAACCCAGGAGTACAAGATTTGTCGCAGACTACATGCGCAAACACGTTTGCCGTGAATGCTCCTGGCCAGGTCAGGCGCCTGCAACAGCCGCCCTGAGCTTTTGATGGTGTCGATTTGTGCCATTGGCAGCATACTTTGAAGTTTATGACGAGCGCTCTGGGCAATACGTCATGGCTTGGCGGGTCCTTGTTTGCATTTCTTTTGGACTGCTCGGTCATTGCCCAGTGGACAAGCTTGGCCTGTTGTGAGCGAAAATTGCTTGGTTGTTTTGCTCCTCATGGCGTGCGGCAACCCGCCAAACCGCTGCTCGCAGTGCATTCACCAATTCATGCCACAATTAATTGCAGGCTTAACCGCAAGCTGATGTTGGTCAGAGTGCGAATGCATGAATGCTAATGATGGACAGCGTGGATTCAAGTGCCTTGCAGAAAACAAAGATGCAGCAGTGAAGCCACTGCGCTGCAGAATCGCATCGGGGCTCTAGTAACTTGTATGTGTGTTTTGCAGCTTCCTCCTCCCCCAGTAGTCTTTTTATGCACTGCAGGGGTGAATCCACTCAAAGCAGCATTCGAACCGTCCCCAGAAAGGCAGGAAGCCTCCCAAAGCTTTGTCCATTTGATGTCCAAATCCCTTCGCGACTCCGACGTCTCACTTGGTCTGGTTTACGAAATCAAGAAAGGGGAGCAACGCCACATGCTAGGCCAAGTACTGCTAGCCTCGGATTAATCTGGAGGCCCTACTAGTTGGAGGAACCTCCAAAAGTAGACTGTTTCCTTGCTAAATCGGGCACCACCACTGACTAGGGTCCTCCGGATGAATCCGAGGCTAGAATGACTATTATGAGCAATTGCCTATTGTTACTCTGGGCAGGACATGGGCAAGGGCACATTTCCATTCATGGGAATCGGCCCAGCCGATTTTCTCGGATCATTTTGGGGAAGCCTTCGTAATTTTATCCAGAGCGAACTCGTCGCGTGCACTTGAGGTCATGGCCACCAACCCGTGTCATGTCGTCAGCTTAGAGCGAGCCTTGTGCCAGGAATCGGACACCTTCGAAAAGTGTGCCTTTCGTGTGCTTTGTAAAGCGACCCAAAAGGATGTTTGACGCGTGGAATGCTAGCATTGGAAATTGTAGGATATCTTGCCACCCCGCCCGAATTAAAAAAAGGAAAAGAAACAATAATATAAAGCAAATAAACAAACAAATAATCAATCATCAACAACGAACACAAAACACAATGGGTGTGTTCCTCTTAGTTTCGCTGCAGAAGCACACACATACACAGACTCACACACACACACCATTTAATTTGTCTGTGAGGTTCGGCACATTAGCAAGGAGATGGTGTTCTTTCGTGTGGCTCTCAGATGGACATGTCTCCAAACTAGTTTATTTGCAGGAGAAACCTCCTTGTGGGAGACACCTTCTTGTGGTTTGCATGTCAATTGACAGAGGAGCAGAAATCCTTCTAGACTCCAATTGGTTCAGGATTTTTATCTCGTGATCTGTAGCATCCGAATAGGCCGAAGGCACTAAAGGCACGCTTGGCCAGGAGCGCTGGGAAGTCACTTGCAGAGCAATCAGTTGTGTACCTTTTAAGCACCATGCGCCAATAAGATTTTGGAACGCGGATGGTGCTATCATAGGATTAACACCCATACCCTTTGACTGTTGCTTAGTTGCTTGCAAATCCGATCGGTGATGATAAAACGTTTCTTGGGTTGCCATCGGATGGTCATTGCGCACTGGAAGGTTGCTGTTCTTTGCCGTGGGGAGTCATGTTTTTTTTTGGTGCGCACTTCGCTTAAGGACACGACGTGTTGCGGCTACTCCGAAAACACGAGGCGGGCCTTGTCGAGCAATGGGCGGAACTTACCGTCCCGCAGATAGATGTGTGCTTATTTTCAGAAACATATGTCGCTTTTAGAGGCCTTTCGAGAAAACTCGTGTTTGGGCTTCCCTTTTTGGATGCCACGTTAATCTGCAAAATATAGGCCCAATATTACAAGAATCAATGCAATGCTGTCACTGTCCAAGTTGGATATCCAGCACATGCAGGAGACCACGGATCATGTTTGAAGGGACCCTTGGTGCCCGAGTTGCGGGACTTCAGATCTTTTAGTCCAACAACCGGGACGCCATTTGCAAGAGATATCTTTTTTTTGGAGGACCCCCTGTTAGGGGTTCCTTCTGCGAATTTGTATGGAGTAAAAAGCATCAGCAGGATACACTGGCGAGTGAGAGGGGCCGAATGCTGACTAGGCCGTGCCGCTGATGCGGGACAGCCAGGCCACGCCCGTCGCGCAAGGTGTGCTTCTTTCGACCTTGTGTTTCCTTGGGTTGATCATTGTTTGGTTTTGTTTGACATAAAGTTGCAATAGTTTTCTGACATGAAGTCGCCCTCTGTTTGAGCACAATCAGGGTCAAGGTGTGCAAAGAAAGTAGCGCATTGGTTCTTGCCTTTTGCGAGGGTTGTGTTTGTCAGACATTCCAAAGCCATCCGCCTGTTGACGCCGCTGGTTTGTTCCACTCGGGGCTCCAATCTCCGCCGGACGTTCGGAGGTCTCCGGCTTCGACGAGCTCCTCCAGCGCGAGAGCGCGCGGTTCATCCTTGACCAGGCGAGCGGTTCATCCATCACGTCCACTGGAAAATGTCCCCTTCAAAAGTTGATCAATTGACGGGTGGAGTGCATTGAAACGATCACCACTTTTGGAGGCTCGAAAAAAGGGAGAATGGAGGACACCCAAAGCAATTGCGTGGCTGATTTGTGCTGTTTGAAGGTTTCAATCTGTTTTGTGTTGAGGGCAATGGAGTATCCTGGGCAAGTGGCCCCAAAGCAGATGACTGTTAGTAGAAGAGAGATCACAGGAAACATCAGATATTATCGGACTATGTTTCCCTCTTTCACTAATGCCGCTGCACAAAAGCTTTTCTATGTATATATATATATATATACACATGTATCCCCCGCCCCTCAAAACCCGCTCCTGCCACTTGTGTACGGGAGGTTAGGTTATTTTAGACAGATGCTACGAGAAGTGGGCTGATTTCACAATGTTGCCAGGCTTGTGCACATGATGCATTCAGACTCTGCCATCTTAGAATTTGCTTTCTTGCAGGTTGTCTGTGTCATTCCTCCTCTTGATCATGTTTAATCATGTCATACACATGTTGGTTATTAACTAAATATGTTTGAACACAACTTAATTTGAACATAGCCTCAAAAGCACAGTTGCTTAAACTGCAAACGCGAAGTTAGGAAAATATCAGTCCAGAACCAAACTTCAGCTTTCAAATATTGTATGCATCTTGATGTTCTCTCATACATTCAATGCTGTTATAATGTGTCCATATTGACTGCAACAGATCAAGGTCAATTGTCTTTGTAAGGGTACCCGTGCAAGGGTATCAAGCATTAGGAGACAATACATCTTCTGCTTCGCCTACGCATCCTCGATGTCTGATCTCACCTCATGAGCAAACCCTCTTCGTTTGTCAACTTACCTGCGCCACAACAAAAGCATCTGCTTTGCATCGTCCATCTCTCATCTCAACTCATTTGCAAATTCCTCGTTCTTGGCCAACGCCAAAACATCTGCTCACATCTTGTAAGCCTTGACCAATTCCAAGGTGTCTGCTAAAGCAACTATTTTGCCTGAGCGAAATCTGTTCTGCACAAAACCTGCTCAAATGCAGTGTTTTTTTTCCAATATCCAGGGGTAGGTGTGGATTTCTGTAAGTTTTTCCTTAAGAGTTTGTTCTTTAATGCCCGTATGATGAACTATCAACTGCATCTACCGCGCACAAGTCCAAAAGGATATTCAGGTGCACACGCAAACAGGGATGACTGACAACAGACGCTTCAAAGCGCTTCAAAGCGTTTGTGGATCTAATATTCAAGATTCAAAATTCCCAGGACTCTTGTTCTTGAATATTGAATCCATGAGATACATGGAAAGCGCTTTAAAGTCCTGGGAATCTTGAATCTTAGATGCAAAAGTGCTTTATTGCAATTTGAAGCTTGTCTGGGCGGATACTGCCACAGTCAAATGTGCACATGCGGGCATAGTTGAAGAGCTCGAATGTGGGGTTCCAAAACTACTGTACATGTTGTTGGAGTCCTGCTAAATGGTTGCACATTTCACGTACTTTCTGGCGGGCCTCTTGAATCATCATCAACATCAGCATAAATCAGCACAAACCAACCAACCAACCAACCAACAAACAACCATCCAAAAAAAACCAACCAACCAACCAACCAACCAACCAACCAACCAACCAACCAACCAACCAACCAACCAACCCACCAACCCACCAACCCACCAACCCACCAACCCGCCAACCCGCCTGCCAGCAGCCAACCAACCAACCATCCAACCAACCAACCAACCAACCATCCCACCAACCCGCCAGCCAGCGAGCTAGCCAGCCAACCAACCAACTAACAAACCAAATCATCATGAGTTTGCATCTTTGAAGTGCCTTGCCCGAGGTTTTCAATGCATACCCTGACGTTGGCAGCCATAGGATGGCAATTCGGCGCAGGCTTGTTTCCGCTACGAAGGCAAAGGCCGCAACATTCAAGGGAATCAAAAGCTGGATTCACATGGAAATTATTTCAAAGGTAGATTTATACAAACTACCATGAATTACATGGGTAGATTGCTTAGCCGCAGGGGTGTTAGCGCAGGAGGTCTCACGAGCCCAGAGTTTTCTTCCTATCGCAGGGTGCAGCTTCGAGAAACGTCCGATCGCCATAGTTGTGCCAGTGAGTGCGATGGCAACAAAGTTGGTGGACACCATCCAGGAGTGCCGGCATTGCGTAGATCAGTTGTTCACACACCAGGATCTCGCAATGGATGTGGAGGGCGTCGATTTGTGCCGCACGGGTCCCATCACTTTGATCCAGATGTGCACATCTGGTGGACAAGTGATCCTCTTTGACATATTGACTCTCGGGCAAGATGCATTCAACTCTGGGGGATTGAAGGCATTGTTGGAGTCTCAGGCTGTGTGTAAAGTCATCTATGACGGAAGAGCAGATGCAGATGCACTATACCACCGCCATGGAATCCAACTTCAGCATGCATTTGATCTGCAGGTTCAGCATGCATTGCGTTACAGCAGGGAGAATGATAGGTACGTCAAGGGGCTTCAACGATGTCTTGATGATGCCGGCGTTGTCCCATACGTTGACAAGCTTCGTGTTGCTCGCATCAAGGAGGCAGGCAAGAGATTGTTTGTCCCGGAGATGGGTGGCAGAGCGGATGTATGGATGATTCGCCCGCTTCCCAAAGCCTTGGTCGACTACGCAGCAAGTGATGTGCAATACTTGTTGCGGGTAAAGGCACTGTGGAGTGGCCCTACTTCCCATGCCGTGCTTCGAGTGACCAAAGAGAGGTTGTGGGGTGCCATGATGTCTCCGGCTCCTGCCAAAGGTGATCACATGAGTGTTCGTGACTTTACCCTTGGACCTCAGGCCAGGTATTTGGGCAGAGAAGCCGTTCCAAAGCCCAAATGCTTTTCCTGTGGCCAGACAGGGCACTTGGCAAGAAACTGCCCACGATCCCTACGCGATTTCGACGACCTTGATCTTTATGGTGGTGACCGCTACGACTGCAGTGAAGACTATGATGACCTCGATGACTATGGTGGCTTTCGCGACATTGCGCCGAATGGATACATTGACTCATCAGGCAATGAATGGTAGATGGTAGCAATCAGTAGCTCTCAGCCCTGGACGGGGGTCTAGGTTCAAAAAATGGTGAAGATTCGAGGGTTTCCTGAGCGATGTTGAGTTGCAGCATATCCAAGGCATTCGGTACCAGCATATCTAAGTGATGTGGATGTTTTGCAGTTGGGTTTCTTGAGTTATACAAGAATATCCAACTGTTCTTCATCTTTGGGCACAAGCCTCTCACAGCAACCCTGTCCGGATTTCGGGGCACTTGTTAACAAATTGTAAAATAGTACAGGTTTACCAGCTCGCATGTTTGATCACATTTTAATGTACAGCTAGTTCGAACTGCTTGGTCATAGTTTCCCGATCCGCGCAGCGTCCATGGCAGTGACCGCATTCTGACAGCCTGAAAAAGGTCTCTGTAGCCAATGGAATGCCGTTGGAAGCTGCTTTCAGGAGCTCGGAGCAAGTTGAGCAACTGTCCTTCCGGCATGGGTGATGAGCCACCAGCAATGTTGCTATTGTCATTTGCGGAGTTTGCCGCCCATGAACGTGTGTGTGTGTGTGCCACATAGAGGGCTGGGTAGGGATTACATTGGAAGCAATGTGTTTGTCTTTCCAAGATGGTCCCCTACTGTCTGCTAGAAATTGACCAAGAGAGCAAGGCGCCCGGGTTTTCCTGATGGGACTGAATGCAAGGAGTTGTTTTGCGTTCGCCTTGTCCAGGCCCACTTGCTGCCCTTGCCACTGGAGGAGAGCAATATCCTTTGGGAGCATGACCATGCGCCGCGCTGCTCGAGGGGTTTGCGCATCCACAGATCCATGGGACGGAGCTTTGTGCCACTACATTTTTCTCACAAAGTAGCCTGGTTCGACTCCATGCTGGGCTCTCCAATTTGGACTCTCTTTGATCTCTGGAAGGCTGCTGGAGGAGCCAGGACACTAGGACCCTAGCGCCTCACGGCAATAATTACATGTGGCCTTTTTGGTTCTGCAGGAGGAGATGGGCCTCGATTCTTTCTTGCAACCATCCAAGCGGAACTTTCAATGTGCTGAAAGAGCAACTGGCCAGGAAGCAGACTGATGTCATTCTTATACACGTCAGCAAGTCACAGTTCTTAGGGCCGCTTCGCTATGAGGCCAGTGCTTACATGCACCTTCGGTTCACAGACAGTTCTTAACCGAACTATACTTTGCAGCAGGTCAATCTGGCTGCAGATGTTGTGATGGTGCATTGGGTGATCCTGAACAATGCATAGTGTACAGTACATTCGAGTTTTTGAAGCTGAAACAGGACAACACGTGAGATGGAATTGTCAGCTCCGCAATTCAATGGCCTATGAAATTATTCAACACTTCCCTGGGACCACTCATGCCTGTTTTAGCAGGCAGCGCGGAGGCGTGGCCTAGGGATATTCCGCGACGGAAGACCTTGAAGCGACCATGTGAAGGGCAACATTCGTTGGAGTTAAGGCTGCCTTGGGCAGTTTGGAATCATTCCGAGACGTTGAAGGAATGTATGCGCGGGGATACTTTTGGGTAGGTGCTTTGCTGATACTCAATGTAAACATGTAACCTGAAGAAGAGCAACTGTTATCAATTTAATATGATATGCCTCTATGCTAGCTTTCGGCCGATAAATCCGGCTAGATGGTATGCTGACCAATGACTGGTCATTCTTCGCTCTCTTCAGACGAGAAGTACCCGGCTTTGCACAGTTGTTGCTGGCTGGGTCTCACCTCAAAGTCCAGTCCGTCCGGCAACTTGTGGAAATTCCTGTAGAGGGCCCAATATTTTTCAGTAATTGAGTGCATTTCTGACTGCAAGGCAACTGAGCTGGTTCATGGCTTTTTGCTCCTTAGACTTGACAAGCTCACTAAGGCTGCGACTCTATCCACTGCCGCACGCGGTATTCATTGGAGGCCGGTGGCATATTTACCTTGTCTCTTGCCGGGGTAAGGCATACCTTGGCACACTTGTACATACTGGAAGGGTTTCCAATTGATCCATACGGTCCTGATTGAGGAGGAAGTGCCAGCTGGATATTATGATGTGAGTAGCAAATGCCAAGTGGAGCATTGGCGATATCCGGCGAGAAGGGATTGCCCGAGGTTGAACTCGCTTGCTGTCCTTCAGGTGTCATTCCCCAATTTGAGTACAGCTACCAGGAGTGCAAGTTTGGCAGTGCCGGGGCTCTCGGATCTTTCTTAGGCCAACGGCATCGCACCGAAAATGACATGGATGAAGTTGTGACAGGCAAAACGATTGCCCCAAGGCGTGTGGATGGACGCCTGTAAGATGGCACGCTGAGTTCAGCTACGATTCCATGCCACAGGTCTTGGCGACAGTCCGCGTCCCCACTTGAACGCTTGCATCGCGGCAGCCATAAATGTATTCCAGAAGTACATGGCACCGATCAGATACTGCCTACAGAATTCGCACTGAGGTTGGCCCTTTCAGCGCTGGCAGCTTCTACAGCTTCTACCCGGCACAGGCGCCAGGATCTGTTTCCGTTAGAAGCTGGATGAGGCTGATGTACAAAGTTGGCTTCGGACCCGATACTTCAACCATTCGTGCGGGACTGTTTGCCCCAGTTGTTTGTGTTTGTAAACGTAGCTCTGTTGGATGTAGCGCTTCGGAGACGTATGTTTCAGGTGAAAGTACTGTGCACACAGACCGGGGCATGCTGTTATTTGCATATTGTCATTGCGTTCGATTTACCATAAAACCGACACTCTGGTCAAGCATGCCTGTACATCCTGGCGCGCCCACGGCCCACAACCCCTCCCTTCAGGCAGAGCTGGAGGTGTGCGACGTGCCAGACCGCGCAGGCAAGGCAGTACGTTGTAATATATGGCAAAATATGACATGTCAACAAGGGCGACCGCAGACGTGTGCCTTTCTAACAAACTGTTTTGTCTGCTCATGTGGAACTCTCTGTATCAAGATCAGCCGGCAAGCATCCACGTCAGGCAGCTGGAACAATGCGGACTTGTTGACACACTTTGGCGCAGTCGCATTTTGCTTGTTTTGCGACAACACACTAATTGGTTGCAAGAAAGCATCTTGACAGTCGGGTTCCTTTTTCAGACGATATGGGTCGCTTGTGAGGATCACTTGTAATTTGAAGAACCATTACTAAATATTCAGACCTTGAAACGCAAGAAGCCAAGTGCCGCCGCAGCTGTTGCATGCTATAAATTCAAGGCTTGCTTGCTCGGCCTTCGACGATACCGAACTGATGGGCCGAATTGCAAATTCCATCCTGCTGCTGTGCGCAACTGCAGCCTTTGCAAGAAACGAAGTATGCAGAGGGAATTGCACCTCGCACCCGATGCTGCTGCAGGTTAGAAGGAAGGCATCAGTATCTCTTGCGAAGAGCTGCGAGACCACGCGTGTGGGTGAGCTATGCTATGAGGAGATGTATTTGGCCTACCACAATGGCATGGAGATAAACCCAGAGTATTTTCAGGGTTTGCGGCTCGGCTCTCCCCATTAGCTTCTGTTCTAGAAGCAGTCTATGTGTTTGTATTTGTCGAAATTATGAGCCTTTGGGCTACACGTTTGGCTCAATTGCCAAACAACTACCGCAAAGGTGTGGTTCCCCAACCCAAGCCCCCAGCATATGCGTTTCTTTGAAAGCCGCCCTGCCTGGAGTTGCTCATGAGGCCGGATGCTCCCTCCGTGGAGGACCTCCAGAATTTCTTTTATGCCAAGCCGCCTCCGACGTATCCCACCTTCCAAGGGGCGGATGGCGGCAAGGACCGAATCGGTCAGATTTGACGACACGACCAGATTCGTGGCGAAATAGAAATGAAGGGACCCCTTGGACCAGCCAAATTCGGTTTGGGAGAAGTCATTGAACCATTTCGGGTTGGTGTAAGAAGACCAGAGGTTTCACTGCAACACTGGGACGGTCCTGGTATCAATGGTCAGGACCGTGTGTGTCGTGGCTCGACTTGGAACGACAACAACCCCAATAACTATGTGGCTGTGTACTCAGAGTCTTTGGATGACTGCAAGCTCAAATGCATGAGCTCCTACGGCTGCAAGGTGCCACTGCGTATCGCAGTGCATGTGGTTGTCAAAAACAAGTTGGTCAGATCTGCCAGTTTGTCACTTACGATGTGGCAGGGTTGCTGGAATGAGCTGCATCAGACAGCCAATTATGTCGTGCACTGTTACAGACTGTCGCTTATGTTTGAATCTGATCAACTGACCAAGACCTCCATAGCTTGTTCCTTTTGGCCTCAATTGTTTTGGCACTTTTCCAGTGATGACGTTTTGAATCGGCACCTGTCCGAAGAAATGTGGTGACCCCGGCCAATGTCACCCTTGCCTCATCACAACCTCGGACTTGAGAAGAACTCCCCGCTCATCATGTTCCTGTCAAATGGCATATTTGGGGACTCCTTTTGTAAGCCAAAGGTAACGCCACGAACCTTGTCACCCAAAAGCTGGGCGAGACCAAGGGGGGGACCAATCTTGGTGTCTCAAACCAAAGGGAAAAAACCACCAACCGCAGCGGTGAAGAAAAACACATGGAGTGTCTTTGAGGGCACCAAACAAGAAGGATTGAATGGGAAGGGTGGGGTCCCCCATTTCAAGACGAGACACACTGTGACGTGCAGGCGGTTGAGTTCTCGGTGGGCCGCTGTGAGCTGTGGCTCAAGGAGGTTCAGGCCACACGCATCCTCAGGACCGGGGTAAGGAAACGGGCTAAACTAAACCGGGCCGCTGAAAACAGCGAACAGGTTGAAGTGTGTTTTTTTAGCAATTACTGTGTGGGCGGTTTGCCTTCAAGCCACCATTTAGCGTGTGTTTGTGAGGCTGTCACTTTCATGGACATGGACCCCCGGCATGATACTCTTTGAAACAAACCCCTGAGAAATGTATGATTTCTTTACTTCCCTTTTTAAACAACCCCAGAATGGCGGTTTCCTTTCGTTTCGCCTTTGCTTTTTATCTTTAAAACAACCGGAAAGCGTTGCCTCAAAAACCGACACACCTGCATAGGGGATGGAGTACCGTTTCAAATATGGCAGGACGTAAGAGGGACGCGTGCAAAATGATCCAAACCAAGGGATCTCCCCATGCTCCACGAGTTTCCTGTGGCGCTTCCCTTTTAAGAATGAGCCAAAGGCGGGGTCCTTGTTTAGTGGATCTGAGATGACAGCGGAATTGAATGTGAAATATTTTTCGCCGAAACCACGCTTGAATGGGAGAGTCGTGGAGTGATTGAGGTGTTGGGTCTCGACGTGAGGCGTTCCAGCTGAGTCAACTTTTGGTTCGGAACAGGGTGGATGTGCTGCTTTATAGTGGATAGCCAGGTCGAAAGGGCCACGATGAATCAGGGGGCTTAGGTGTGTTTGGCTAGCTGATTTTATCCTGATCTGGCATGGCAACCCTTGGGGCAACTAAAGAAAGTAGCGTTGGCAGCAGTATTGGCAATAGCTTGTTCTTTATTATTTGTAAGAAACAACCAAGAACCAAATGAACATATTATGATTTTTAAAGTGTATGTTTCCCGGTTTTGGTGGGTGTCAATAACAGATTTTGGGGATCATTTGCCAAACCTTGTGGGTGCCTAAAATAGGATTGCTGAAGGTTGAATCGAGGGGGTTGTCAATCAAGGAAGGTTTACGGGGAAGCATGGCATTCCTTTGCAGTTTTCACAGAAAATCAGACCTAGCAATAGTCGCTGCCAAGAAGCACATCTAGTTAGGACATTGTACTTTGGATTGAGGTTTGCTTGTGCCAGAGGAAGCCTGTAACTTGAACTGGGCGGAGTTCTGTTTTCATGGTGGCGGATTGCAACACTGGAAACAAATGATATCACATGAGAACAGTTGCTTTGAGTAAATAACACGCGTAAACACAGGTTGCTTGTTTTGCTAGGAACGCATTCCACCACTCATACCGTTTCACTTGGACAGTGAAGAAGAGCACAATGGAATTGAGTGATTCCAACTGTCTATCCTTTCCGAGTTACATGATGGCCTTGCCCTGAATTCCAATGGACATTCAGTGTGAACTTCACATGTGTGGAGTACTGGACAAACTCGCAAAGCGAGCCCGCAATGAATTGGATGCCTAGTGGCATCATCCTTGATCGGATTTTGGGGACTGCGTGGCGCCTTGTGAATTCTTTCTGCGCTTGGAAGGAACTTTGAGTGCCAGCGACTTGCCGAAGGCACTGGTCTCAGCTGGAACTTCGAAACCAAGGGCCTGGGCACGGTCTGTCGGGGGAGCCACCCCAACGACAACAGCGTCGACTACTTCACGGTGGCTGCAGCGAGCAGCCTCGCGCTTTGCATCTTGACTGCCATTGGCCTGGATCTTTAGACTTCAACTTTTTGGGAAGTCAAGGGGGTTTCCACTAAAGCCACAAAAAGTTCTCAACTTTTTGCAGAGGGTTCAGCAACCAAGGCATGGACACGTGCAGAGAAACTCCGCTTTGCTCGGGCGTCGAGTACCATACCTCGGGACGCTGTGAGCTTTGGACCCGGTCCATCGATGCTCACCGGAGCGTCAGCGGTGGCTTGGCGGCATGGCAATGGTTAACTCGCATATTCACCTATCAAGCAAGGTTGTGAACACAGTGTTCGGCTAAAAATGGCTAATGTGCTCTTCCAAATATGCAATATTCTAAGCTATGCAGACGGCACGCGGAAGTTTCAGCATGTAATCAGGAAACAAGCCAGCATGAGAAGGGGTACCACTGTTTATTCAAGCCATGATCACTGGAATCAACTTGGTAGCTGCACACATAGGCCAGGACGCACATAAGATGCAGGTTCTGGATGTTGACGTGCTAGTCAAACAGTGGGATTGTGCCTTTGCACTTTCCGTACGCGTTTAGGTGCCCTGCATGCACCAACCATGCTGTCACCACCGAGTTTTCATTCAGCTGGGGAGCACACTCTGACTAGCGAACCCATGGCAAGCCTTGTTTGGTGGTTGCCCTGGATTGGACATCGGATACGTATCCGTTTACTTGCCTTGAAGCTGGGGTATATGGTGCTCTAGTGTTGCTGGCTTATTTTGTTCACCACAGATTGCCAATGGTTGCCCATGATTCGAAGTGTATAAGATATTTTCACGGCGTGGCATCAACCCGTGGATCAACGAAAAGTCCCCCACCAGTTGGGATGGGTGAAGCCCCAAGAACAATGGAATAATCCACCTACCAAGTGGTGCGAAGTGGTTCTGTGTATCCACGGTAGACCAGGGCCTAGTGATTGCAATCCCTCAGGATACCAGTGCCTTCGCCTGGTGCAGAAACCTGACAATCGTCATTGCGAGCTGCCAGCGTGCCCTCCCTGCCGGACTGCTGTGGAAGGGGAGTCCTGCTATGAGGACGTGAAGTGGGCAAAGGAGTCCGGCATCCTGGTGAGTTGGTGATTGATGTCAATATTTCTCTTTCTCTTCTGCTTTATGTGGGTGTGCAGGGAGATGTTTGAATTCCGAGTTGTCCCTTCAAAGTGATTGTATCTTCCGGCTTTGGTGGTTTGTGTTTCTTGTTGTGTTCTTTCATGCTTCATGATGGCTTTGGAATGTTTGAGCCGGGGATGTGCCGAGCTGAGGCATCTATAGCAATCCCGAGTGGTATCCTGGCCTCACGCCAGCGTCCAGCTTCGAAGACTTTCAGCGGCTTCTCACTGCAGCAGGCACCACCACCTGCACCGATGTGCCCTGTGGATCGACGGTACCGAGCCCCACCACAACAACAACTACAACCACCACAACCACAACCACAACCACCACCACCACCACCACCACCACCACCACCACCACCACCACCACCACCACCACCACCACCACCACCACCACCACCACCACCACCACCACCACAACCACCACAACCACCACCACCACAACGACCACAAGTCCTGCAATGACCACTATGCCTGAGCAGCGCGGTTGTGAAAGTGTGTGGGATGTCGTGGCCAGCGACCCTTGGTCCTCTGACACCTGTGGCAACCGGATCACATATTTGATCAACACAGGGAGTACAGAGCACGATGCCAAGAAAACCATCGCAGTGGACTATTTGGTCTGCGACGCCTGCTGGCCTTGGCCAAAATACAAGGGCTCTGATGATAAGCGGGTTTCCAAGAAGCGCGGCATCGCACAACAGAACTGGAGGTTGAATTCTGCTGGGCTCTCCTCCTTAGCACAAAGTATGCATTGGGGCTATACGTGGCTTGGTGGAATGAGGTCTCTCGGAATCGCTTTGTAAGCCATCAGAGTGTGACAAGTTGTCACAGACCCCAGCGCATTACTTGGTGATATTATGCACCCTCAGGCAGCCTTTTGTTTAACAAACACTCCGAACGTCTAAAGTTGTTTGCTTTCTCGAATTCACGCTGGGTGGTTTCCGTTTTTACTCGTAGAGTTTCGTGGTCTGGGCTTTGAACAGAAGGATTAGCCCACCGATTAGGAGCCACCTGTGCATGCAGCCAGCTTGAGTTGTGCCCAGCTCATTGCTGGAAGCGTTTTGCTGGTACTGCGGCTTCCCCAAGTTGTTCAAACACAGAGCAACGAGCAACGCGGCAGCCACGGGCGCAATGAGCGTGGCAAAGACTCCTTGGCCTGAGGTGGCACCACACCACAGGCAACGGGCCCAGCCTCGGCGATTGGGAGCTGCATGGCCTGAACTTTGTGCCCATGGTGTGGGGCGGCGATGCCCACATGGACAGGGCCGTGCAGGACCCACCCGCGCGGAGGTTTTGGGATAGGGGCCTCCCCGGCGAAACAGGTTCCATGTGTCTTGTTGAGGTATTTGCCTTGATTGAATCTGCGAGGACGGCCTGCCCAGTGGAAAGAAGGCGGTCTTGGGATTCAACGAGCCGAACTTCCCGGGGCACCTCTGCAGAAGCGTCCAGAGTATTGGATTCCAAGATTTCATGGGCTTTCCGTCTACAAGTTTACCTCTGACAATGTGTTCCTTTACCCGCTGGTGCTTTCCCACTGGCACGTTGTCTCGGGCAGTTTTGCGGTGAAAGCTAATTTTGCCATGGTTTCTTCGCTTCGGATCTTTGGCTTTCTGACCCCTTTCTTCGGCTTGGTAGATTCGGTGCGGTTTGGTTTGTTTCGGCTCAGCGCCCGGCGGTCCGCGCCCGGAGGCAGGCGGACCTGCTGCCAGCTGCGGCGGCGCAGCTGTGGCCGCAGGTGGAGACGCTCGCACGGGACGCGGGCATCGATTACATCGTGAGCCCCGCGGTGAACTTCGCAGTGCCTCGTTTCGAAATGAACCTGATTCAACACGTGTGCGTGTTTTCTTTTCAGGGACTCCCAAAATGGATGGTTTTCTTTTTGGCTTCCCATTGAAACAACGCCAAAAAGGGGTACCCTCAAAGAAGCAATCGATGGCTGTTTTGTTTTTTGGGACGACCGCAGGTGTTGCAGCTCTTTTATGTACAAACTGGGGGTTGGGGAGTCCCCTATTTGAGCCACGGCCACATGGGTGTGTTCTGATTGAGGGTATATACCCTTTTCAGGCTGGTTGCATGTTCCCTGTTTTCAGACTGGTCATGCAATGTAGGGTTGAGAATGACGGACCTGACAAACTGCTAGTGTCACTTTGATTTGTTCCCTTTCGGTCGGGTCCCCTTGGTTTGAGCAGAAAGTTGTGGTGCAACTTTGGTCACCTCAAATACCGAGCCTCAGTTGGGTCGTGATGAGTCAGAGGCGGTAATGGATTAAGTTATCAGCATCGTTGGTGTTCATTGTCGGCGGGCGACGTCCAAAGCAGTGAACGTTTTCCACACGCCAGGGTTGGCTTGCGGCAAGTTGCATGGAATCGCACAGACACCTCTGAAGAAGTAGTCTGCTTTGGACATGAACTTTGCGCATTGTTATTTGGAGAGTGTAGCGTTCGGCGCGGGAGCCATAAGTCCACCTTGCTGATAAAGTTCAGGAGTACAGATCCAATTAAGAGGCATTCAAAGCTGTATAGGCATACTCAGCGCAGGTCAGTTCTTCAAGATGACGGAAAGAGCAGAACGCAGCAACAACGGGGAGCATCTCCCGACAAAGCCTGTAAGCACCCAATTGTTGCCTGGTGATTCGGTTAGCAAGTCCTGCTTGGCTCAGGACTACGACCCCATCCTTTGGCTGCAGCACTTCTTCGGCAACTGCACTGGATGCAAAGTTGATGCGATTGCGTTTCATTCCTATACTTGCTACGCTAGATGGCTACGAGAACACCTCGAGAGGTACAAGGTTTTTGGGTTGCCTGGCCGAATGAGTCGATGGGGATTGGACGGCGAATCGGCATCCAACATTTGTTTCATGTCTTCCGCGGTAGGACGTGGAAAGAACTGGCTCACGCTTCTGTTTTGAGCTGTCGAGACTCTTGAGTCTAGGATCCTCGAAGATCCTCTTGCCATGTTATATTTGTTTGAGGATTACGTGTAGGCGTAGTTTGCCATGATTTAGCGTGTTTGGTCAATTGTCAAGGAAACGATTCTTTCGAGGATGCAATACAAGATCCTTGAACACACACGTGTTGTTGCTGGTGTTGGTGTTGCTGTTTGTGTTTGTATTTGTGGCTGATGTGATTGCTGTTGTTTGTGTGTGTGGTTGTGTGCCTGCTTTTGTGTCTACCCTGGTGTTTGTGTTTGTGCCGGCACACTTGCATTCGTGTCTGCACATCTCCCTACTAGTTGCAACACGTCAACACATTCAAATCCACAGCTTGCCCATCTACCTTCGGTGAGATTCGTGGGGAGTTCGCTTGGCTTTTTTGGCCCACCATTTTGGCTGGCAGGCAGCACAGGTTTCACAGATCAGTTGACATCCAGCGCTTGACGTTGAGAACAGCTGTATTGGGTGCCTTCCCACCACCAAAGGGAAAGAGGGGCAAAATGGGGGGTAGTAGAAATTACCACGTAGTGGCTGCTACACAGGATCCGATGGTCAGGTTGTTGTCCTGACCGGCCGGCAAAAGAATTGAGTGTTCTGTACGTGTTGCGATTAATTTTACCCAAGGGGAGGGGCCGGAAGTTCAGGAGCCCAAAGGGCGTGAGGGTTGTATCAGTGTTCATGGCGGTTTTATCGGCGTTCATGGCTTGTCCATGATTTGGACCGCATGTTTTGATCCAAGTGGTTCCTTTGAACCTTTGAGCCGTGGGAACACCTCATGGGCTGCACTCGGTTCCACTTTTGTCTGGCTGTTCCAAGGGTTTTGAGGAAGTTCGCAGGAAGAAGATCTGGCTCACAGAGTTCGCCTGCAGTGACGCCAGCTCCTTGGAGCGCCTGCCTATGAGCGGGCAGATGGACTTCATGCCGCTCGGCCGAACTCTCAAAACGGACAGTGGAGGAAACGAAGGGAATGGCCCACGAAACCCAGGACTAGGGAATCCAAAATAGATATTCGGGCATGGGTCAAAATTAAACCACTAGGGCACCGCATGTTTTAGTCCTTGGTTTCATTCACCAGATTTTGGGTACCTAGTTTGGACCACAGCCATATGGTAATATGTATACGAATTTAAATCAGCTGGTACTTGAGTGATTTGGCAAGTGGCTTGCGGGCACAACCAAAAGGCTCCTAGTATTGATGTGTTGACATATTTCCAGTGACGTTCCCTTGCTGAAACTTGGGTTAGATATAGGTAGGCTATACGCTTGAAACGGTACATTGCATGCAGACACCTCAAGCCAAACATCGGCGATGCGGCAACATTGCTTGCTGCTTCCCCTCAAGATTGTCAAGTCAGAATCACAACCTCGATGGGTTGTTGGAAAGTAGCAACCAGTGACGCACATGACAGTTGCCATCAATATGTACTTTTGTAGGTGGTGTTGTTGTGTCTGTTGCTATTGTTGTTTTCCTTGCCCTTGTTCTTGCGCTTGCTCTTGCTTTTGTGGTGCTGGTGCTGGTGCTGGTGCTTGTGTTGTTGTCAGGATTGTTTAATGCTCGAAGTATGGTTGACTGCTTCAGCTTCCCGCTCCTAGCCAACGTGAGCACTGATTGTTTGTTGGTAGTCTTTTTGCAATCCGGTGAGAGATTATGCTTGTCTCCGGCGTTTGACCAACATGGCATCGTCAAGTGTTGGTGATGTGAACAACTTTGGCCGGTGTTCTGACAGTCAAAGCGAGTTTGGGCTGCATGCCACATACTGCATCTTGGTGAGGAGGGAGGTGATTCCTATGCTGGAGCGCGACGACGACATCGAGATGTATGCTTGGAACCTTGGATGCCGGAGCATACGCCAGTTGCGTAAAGTGTTCTTCGGGGTGGCTATAGCTTTCTTCGCCGCAAGTCTGCCTGTACCGTTGGCCTACGAATCTGCTGTGGGGTTTCTTTCCTCACTTGCGCATCTGGCGGTGAATGTGTTTCTTTGCACTGAGATGTCCTCTATCTCCAAGTACACATTGGCCCTGGCACTGACACTACTGTTGACCAACCGTAGTAGCTGCTCATCCTTGAGGAGACACAAATGACTAACGATGAGCTCCCACTCGAATTTGTTTGCCGCAAACGTGTTTTTTTCCCACCTTGCGCTGCGCTCTCAAGTGGTTGGCAGCTTCACTTGCATCGCCCTTGCTTGCGCAGTATTGCACAGCTCCGGAAGCAAGTTGTTGGCCAAAATCAATCCTACCTGCACATTCATGCTTCAGGGATCAGCTTTGGGCCCAGATCCACTAAGACAAGCTAAGAGCTTGATACAAAAATCAATCGAAGCCATACACGCTTCGGTTGATTCGAAACATTTCATGGTCAAGCAAAGCAAATCAGGGTTCGGATTCTTCGCCGGTGATGGTTACCTACGACAGGCGTGCTGTTTGATACAACACAAGCCCCCTCCAGCTAGCCTGCAACATGAACCCGATGATCGGCATGGGCCTGCGATTCGGGCGTGTTGATTGTTTAATGGCTGTGGGTCAAAACCAATGGTACCGTTTTGGGGCAGGTGCACCACCCATTTTAGTCTATTTTAGTGGGGATTGGGATGTTCACTCGGGGTACGGGATTTTGACCCATGGCCAATATGTTTAATCTCCCGGTTGGCCGGACGGGGGGCAATGTTGTGGTTTGCAGCCCAAGCCTGGCAAAGCACCTCACCGGCTTGCAACAAAACGGACCTCTGACATGCAGAAGGGAGCGCCTTCTTCCGGTGAAGGTGATGCCCCACTTGCCAGGATGCTGGCGCTCAAAAATCATTGGCCATGTGCCGCCAGGTTCAGCATGTTTGAAGATGACTGGGTGTATCCCATCGTGGACGGCAAGAATGGAGATGCCGGGCTCTTGCAGAGCAACTTGGCGAAAATGCGATTTGTTAAGGTCAAGAAATAACAAGCCCCTGTTTGTGGGCGAGCAAGACGCTCTGCCGACCAATATGGAGCATGGGCAAGAGGCAACAGTTGCAGGTCATGCAGCGTTCATACATCCTTTTTATATGGGCGACTTCTGGAGGGTACTTTTGTTTGCCGGTTGGAGTGAAAGGGCATATGTGTCTGCAGCTTCGCGGAAAAAGCACCATTCGCCTGAAAAAAACAGCAGTTTCACAAAATGCCGGCAAAAGTTGCCGTTTGGTCGGGACAAGTTGCCGTTTGGACGGGTAACATGGCCGTTTCGATGTGGCAAGCGGCCGCCTGCAATGCTGAACTTGCAGAAGTGTTTTTCCGCAAGCAAAAGTGCCATTGCAAAGGAAAACACCGCTCATGCAGTGTTCATCCATCCTTTTCTATCAAGTCATTTATTTTCACATGAAACTTCAACATCTCCCTGCAATTCACTCATGTGTGCCACCTCAATGTTGCCGACTAGGTGACGGCAAGCTTTCTCCGTTGGGCGAGCTCTATGCGTCCTTCCTTGGGCCCGACATGTTGGACGCACCTCCCATAGTGACGGTGGCACCAGGGCCTACATGTCGGACGGCGCAGGCCGCTTTCTATTTTGGCTTGTTGGACATGTTGGACCTGGTTCTCGATCCTAAGGTACGGTGCATCCATCAATAGCGACAGGTTTGCCCCCTCCGAGTGTTGGGTCGCTTTTCAACGTGGCCAAGCAAAGCCCAAACTGCACACGAGAATTGCACTTGCCTAAAGAGTGAGGCCAGCACATGCAAGGGCCATAATTCACGCGCATCTTATTTTGCTTGCTCCCATCAATGTGGATACATCCTTTTTTAGTATAGACTGGTTCCATACGCACTTGCCCCATACGAGAGTATTTTGAGCTCAGTGTCACAAGTGAAGAGTGCAGCACGAGCTGCGCTTAGCATTTCTTATTGTCTCTCGTTCGAATGCAGGTGGACGAGGATTGCTATGACGCTGTGGAATGGGCAAGGACGTCGGGGATTTATTCAAACCCCGAGTGGTACCATGGTTTGACAGCTCAGTCTTCCTTCGAAGACTTCCAGAACTACTTCTATGTGAATCGGATCAACGACGGCGTGTGCGGCTCTGCACCTTGTGTGCGGGTGACCGCGACCTCGTCCCCACTTTGCACCTCCCGCGGAAACTGCAGCGGCCACGGGGTGAACGTCTTTGGCGCGGACGGCTTTGAAGACGACGCCGCGGTTAAGCGGGCAGTGGACGAGCTGTTTCGCAAAGGCCTGGGGGAAGTCATGGGACAAGAGATGTGGCACTTTTGTTGGACCAACAGCCGGCAATCAACTACCAAGCACCAAGCAACAAACAACAAACAACAAGCAACGAACACACAGATGACCAACGAACAAAGAACAACCACACCAACAACAAACAACAAACACACGGATGCCTTAGCTGGCACCATTTGATTTGCGTTGCGTGACCAGGAGTGCGCAACTTCAGGGTCATCAACGTGGGAGCTTGGGCAGATGCGGCACTCAACGCCATCAATGATGCTGCGCAGGGAGGCGGAGCCAACTTTTGGAAACAGGCAACGTTTGCAGCCCGAGAAATGGAAGCCCGAAATGGGCGGCCGTGACTTGTGATATCTTGTGATAGAAATGGTCAACAGCTGTGAAACTACATCCCTGTGATATTCCCTGGCCTCTTGAGGGGTAACGTTGCAAAGAACCTTCAAGCTGACTGGCCTCCTAAATCGATGTCTCTTTGCGGTGTGAAATAAGCCAGTTTCAGGAGCATCTGTATAGCCAGGACACTGTGCCGCGCTTTTGCCTGGTTTTGGGCCCGTTTGCATTTCCTCTTTGGCTGGTGGCCCTGCAAACGCCAAGCCGCGCGCTGCACACGCCAGGCCACGTGTCGCTGCAAATCACCAGCCTCTTCTTCGATTCGCCATCCACCTGCTCGAGCCTGCCCAGCTGGATGGACTTCTCGCTGGCCAACACGACGCGCCGCCGCAGTGAGCCATCCTTTTGCCTGCCATTTGCTTCTTTGGGGCTTCCATGTGCAACTCATATATATATATAATGTGGTATGATGGGGGTTCCATAGGGGCTTCCGTGTGATGTGATGTTTTTGTCGACTCTTTAATATGATATGATATGATGTGATATGATGGGGGTTCCAGAATGTCTAGCTCATAGTGACTCGTGTGAGACCGACCGCCCGGGTGTCGGTCGGTTTGCTGAAGGAAGCGGAGGCTTAGCGCGCTGACGCACATCAGCCGCATCATCGTGCAGCTGGACACCTGCAGCACCTGGGCTGGAACTGTGTGCGTGCGTTGTTCTTGACGGAAAGTTGCTTCAGTTCAGGCCTTACTTGGCCGTGGGTCAGAATTAAAACATTCGGGGACCGCAGGGTTTGGGCCTTGGTTCCATTTACCAAGGTTCCATTTTGGGTACCTATTTTTGACCCACTGCCATGATGGATGGTACCTGGTACTATTAAATCCATGTCAATATCTTAGTTTACTTAGAGCTATCTCCACACTAGAAAGTGGTTCGGACAAGCTTGAAGGCAGCCCAGAACCCACGCTTTGCGGAGCTGCCTCCAGACTCATGGGGCAGGCGAGCGGAATGAGAGGTCTTGGACATTGCATGCTTGCCGCTTTGCTGTATTTGGGTGTGGGTCAAAATTAAACCACTAGGGGACCGCAGGTTTTAGTCCATGTGTCCATTTGCCAGGGTTCCATTTTGGGTACTTTGACCCACAGCCATTTAGTGCCAAAGCTTAGTCTTGCCTGGAACTTGCCTGCGGCCATATCCCCATTGATGGTGAAGGAGAGCATGTTCCCACAGAGACACAGAGACGCTCACAGAGAGACACGCAGACACCCTACACACACAAACACACATTGAGACTGACTTTTAGCTGGCACAGTGTCTGAAAAGCTTTAGATAACACATATTATGTTCGAAAAGAAGCTCAGAAGGGGTTGACCTGCTATGCGGCCAGCAAACTGGAGTGAAGAACAAAGTCAGAAAGCATGTCGCTCGAATACTTGCAACCCTGTGTTAGATGAATGCCCAGGACCCCAACAAAGCAAAACGGAGGGTTCCTCTTCATAGCTTTTTCGTGCGTGCAGCTTTGACCCCGAGGCATTTGCCAGGAGTCAGCCCTGTACTGCATCAATCCCACCGAGCAGGGCTTCGGGCAGGACCTCGCGGCCGAGAGAGCCGCGGTCTTCAAGGAGCTCGACGTTGCGTCGTCGAACCAAGAACTTCACCTGGACACGGATAGACCAATAGAGACTTCTTGCAGAGTCCTTGAGGCCTTGAGGAGCAGAAGATCCTATGATTCCTTTGAAGAGGGGCACAGGCAGCATAGCTATGGCCCCCGCGAGCTTTGACCGTTGAACTTGCTGTGTGTTGGCTATGAGGGGGCTCTCCAGAATGGCTGGCTCATGGTTGGCATCCGGAATCTGCATGTTCTCCCAATCCGGGGTCATGATGATAGTCGAACTACTGATACATGACCATTCTCAATCAGCGTCGTGTCACATGTTGACTACCGCACTTGCTGGGTGATGCTGGCGCTCGTTAGCCAATGCACGTGCTCCATAGCGTCTTGGCCCACGTTGGTTCAGAATCAGTTGTCTTCCAAAATCCTCATGACTCCGGGCATTGTATGTCTGCACCGTAGAACACACAATGAGAGGGGCCGCTTGGCACCCTGCAGCTGTGGCCTGAAACCGGGGAAGCGCTCCTCATCAGCGCTTTCAATTTGACCTTCGGTGCCTTCAAGCAAAAAGCCGGCAACACTAAGACCAAACAACATGGGGCGCCAAAAGGCACTCCAAAAAAGGAGCACTCCAGACCGCACAAGTTTCGTGGCCATTGCGTCCACTCCAAAAAAAGATGATCCAGTCGTACCATATATTAGCCTAAATATGTTCGATACGATATACGTAGTGCTAAGATCTCTGTACGTATTCCATCATGTATGGAGCCAATTATGAACCTTAGAACCTGACCGTGTTTTGTTGAACCATTCTGGGTCATTTCCGGGTGTAATTCCAGGGTGCAATACAAAAACCCTCAGACCTTAGAACATGACCCACTCGAAAGACGGCCACCGGCGGCGGCCCAGGACTTCGTGGAGCAGCGCTATGGCTCGTTGATCCAAGAGGCGCATGAGGCGCTTCCAAGCAAGGCGCGGAGGGCAGCCGTCGTGTGTCAAAAGGGAAAACCATTTGCAAAAACACATTTGGCTGTGGTTTTCAAAACCAATGGGATCCCATGTTGGGGTAGGTGCACCACCCATTTCAGAACCTATTTTAGTGGCGATTGGGATGTTGACTGGGGGTACAGGATTTTGACGCATGGTCATTCCGGGAGTCCTGTTTACATAGCCCATATTCCCTTGAAGTGGCTGCATTTTGAAGGGTTCTTAAATTGGTGCCCAGGTTTTTTCCAGGAAACTCAAACCTCAAAGATGTTCTCAAAATAATTTTGCGGGGTGAGGAATCCCTTTAAACAACAATTTAGAGGTAATATGTTTCCATGGAATGAGGGGGTTGTTTGCGGACAATTGTACCAAAAAACACGTTGCCATTGTGCCCGCTTCCACTTTCATCCTACCATGACCATCCTGTCAGATATCAATGTTGGAGATGGTCAAGATGGATATAGGCTGAGTGTGACCCTTTGTTCAAGGAGGGATGTTTGTGTCTGTCTCCCAGAAAACCATGAATTGCCTGGCTTGCTGTTTTGCACATTGAAGCCAATGCTTAGCCAGCTACCTGGCCCAGCTCGCTTGAGTTGAGAAGCACCTTGTTTATCCTTGTCCTATGCCAGAAGGTTGCCCCTGTATCATGATGGCCGATCCATGGTCAGCTTCCCAATGGTTGAACACCGAGGTGGAGTTTGTGATCCCGTTCCAGAACGAGCGCGCAACTCCAACTTCGATGCTGGAGAGGCTCATCGCAGATTGGATCCAGCCCCTGCGTGCCCAAGGCGGGGCTTTCTGAAACACGCTACGCCAGGTTTGTGGGTTCGGACCATGTATTCGCAAGAATCCTGAGGGTGAAATCATGAGCAGCTAGGAATCTTGCGTCCTTCCGGCTTTTGGAGTTGTAGCAAGCATGTGAGTCACTGTGACCGAAGGCTAGGGCCTTTGTTTCCATGATAAATTGTTGAGTGGAGTGGAGCAGGGTTCACAGCCGTTAGGGCAAGTTCCATTGCAGCTGGAACCCCAGAGCCAGACGATGGGCACTTACTGTTTGTCTCGTAGGTCAGGAGATAGTCGCGGGCGCCTATCGTGCTTGAAAGTGGCAGATCATACAAAAACATGGTGCTACCTGTGGCTGCTTGTCGACCCCCCGACATGTTTATCTTGTTTGTCTTCTGTTGGTCCTCTCATGGGCCACTCAGCTTTTTTTGGCCGGGGGATGTGGATACCGTCAGGCCGCAAGTTCTACTTGGAGGGCACCATCTATCCCTTTTGGACCTCTACGGAGCCGTTCTTCGCGGGCTTTGAGACCGGCACGGTGTCTTGTCACACTTTCGGGAGCATGCGTGAACTCTTGAGGGTGCTTCGGCCATGCCAGGTGCGGTGTTATCATTTGATGAAATCGCAGCTAGCTCTTATGGACGCCATGCCTAACATGACACCAGGCGAGTGTTCTTGCTTTTGACTCAATCAGACCACGCTCATTTTGGTGGCCAGAGCAGGCCTATCATTGGTTCAGCTTGCCAGTCAGTGGCTTCTCACGACCGGAGCTGAATTCTCCATGCCCTCAGCTGGGGTCACGCCGAGCCGCTTTTGCACGACACATGGCGACATGGCTGGCTTCAGAGTTCTGCATCCAGGTCCAGGACCTGGATGCAGAAATCTGAAGCCAGTCATGCGTCCCAGCTGAACCCAATTGGATGTGTCCTTGGACGTGTTTGATGTTGGGCCTATGGCTGGGGGAAGTTGGCAGGAGTGCTTCCGTTTGGGATATCAAGCCTGTATCGAAGAAGAAGCAAACCAAAGCACAGAAAGCTCAACCGGTGAGGGATAAGTCGCGAGTGCCGGGCCTTGAAGGGCGACAGAATGCTGCGGGTGGCTTTGTCTCGTACGGCGTTGCGCCTCATGTCTGGCTTCAGTATGTGGTGGATTTCGGCCACGGCACCGAGTCCCACACCTATGTCTGGAAGGCAGGCCATCAGGCCATCAGGCCTCGCTCACTCGATATGCGAACCAATGTGCCCGACTCGTCTGCATGGCTGCTTGCTTTTGTTTTTACGCTGCGCTCAGCGCATTCAGCGTGTTCTATGAACCTCCATGGAAGGGAAGACCACAGGCCCCTTTTGCTGCTGCCCTGCGGGGTCAGACGCCCAGACGCATCTGACCCCGCAGGGCAGCTGTCACACCATGGGCTGACGTGCCATTTCCACTACCTGCTGGACTGCGCGATGTGTTTTTACACATTGTGCAAGCCAGCAGTTAGTGAAAATTGCATTAGGTCAGGCCATGAGGCAGCGCCTTGTGAGGAAAAAGCCGACCATGTTGAATGGCAAGCGTGTCGAGCAGGTGACCTGTAAGGCTTCTGAAGCCGTCGTCGCCACAACGGCATCTTGCAGAGGTTGCCTTTTGCCCGCCCTACCTGGGCCAATTAAAGGACCCCCTGAAAGTGAAGAAGGTCTCTTTTTCTGGAGTCCAGCACTTCTCCTCATGTCAAAAGGCCAACCTTCCAGGGGTAACATGAGCGTTGCAGAAATGAACACCGATGGTTTGTCACCGATGCGTGGGATCAACGGAACACCCTGCTTTTTCTTGACAAAGCTGAGGCGAGAAGGTACCTGGACCTGGCTGCCCAGCTCTCGCTGGATGGCTTCCACGTCTCAGAGACGGGGTGGCCCCAGAGCTGCCCGCTGAACGCCAACTCCCGCCCGCCCTCGCTGGAGAATATGTGCCGGTGCCTGGGCGGCAAGCAGGCAGTTGTTGCTGCCAACGAACGGAACAGACAAACAATCAAACTAGCCGTTCAATCCGTTCAAGGCTTTCCAACCATTCAAGCTGTTCAAAGCGACAAACAAACAAGCGGCAAGCAAAGCAGGCAGGAGTGGCAGGCAGGCAGGCAGGCAGGCAGGCAGGCAGGCAGGCAGGCAGGCAGGCAGGCAGGCAGGCAGGCAGGCAGGCAGGCAGGCAGGCAGGCAGGCAGGCAGGCAGGCAGGCAGGCAGGCAGGCAGGCAGGCAGGCAGGCAGGCAGGCAGGCAGGAAGCAAGCGAGCAAGCAAACAAGAAGCCAAAGCAGCAGAGACAGAGTCAGAAGCCGCATTGAACACAGACACCAATAAGCAAGAAAGACAGAGAGACTGATAGGCAGACAGACAAACAGACAGAAACAAGCAAACAATCAATTAAACAAAGAAACAAGCAAGAAAGCAAGCAACCAAACAAACATTCAAACATGCAGTCAGACAAACAAAGAAAGCAACCAAGACCGGCACAAGCAAACAAAACAGGCAACACACACCCAGAGTAAACACACGCGCAAGCAAGCACGCAAACAACCATCTAAGGAAGCAAACAAACAAAGAAACAAAAGCGGATGCCGCCTGGGCAACCTTGACGGCCTCTATGGAAGCTCCACGCTGAATGATTCCCCATCATGCACAGAATCATGGAACCCCCCCTTCAGGTCCCTTCAGGTTTCCCTTGATGCTGTGCACTTCGCGTGATGTGCTTCAGGTATTGGAACAACTCCCTTTACGAAGTCGATGATCTAGTGCAGGACGGGTGGGGGAGCGAGCCAACGCAGACCTTGGACAAGCTGCAAAAAAAAGACGAAAGTAGATTTGATCAGTTTGTGAATATCACCATGGGAACAAACACGATGTTACACTTACACTTTCTTGCTTGGGAGTCCTTTGCTGCTTGGAGAGCTGCTCAGGAGGTTGGATCGCGTCTGACAGTGTATCACTGGAAGATGGGCCCAGCGAATGATGGCAGTTGCGGGGAGTCCACCTTTGGTCTCTTCACGAAGCAAGGGTCCTTTGTGTGCGACACCTCTGGCTTGGTGCAACTGAGCGCATGACACAAGTTTCACAGGCGCGTTTGGAGGCACCGCAAGCACTTCCAAGCGATCATTCCCAAGTTCGCGAACGAATTTGAGCATGAATCAATGCGAGCCCATGCGCAGGTTTGTCTAGGATACAATGAGCATGGGAAAATCTGTGGGCCCAATCAAGGAGTCTGCGAGCTTAAGGTTTGCAGACCTTGATGTATCTCAAGAATGAGGTACGGGTGACCCCAAATTCGGCCACAAGGGGCTGACATGTGGTCCCTTGAGGCTTGCACTGAAGCAGCGGTTCCATGCGTGAAGTACTACAGGACAAAGCCAAGCAAACCTCGGAGGGCCGGCACGGCCAAAAAGAAACACGAATGCAGATGCGCGTGGCTCGGATCTTGCTTCTTCAATAAAAGCTTGTTTGAATTTGAGGTGGCGTGACTCAACATGTACAAGGAGACGCTTGGAAGGTATAATTATATTTGTTCTGAAGTCATATGTTTCATCCCCCGCAGCCTAATTCGGGAAGTTTGCATAAAACAAGGCATCCCAACGAATGATGCCAAACTAATTGGATTGCCAGTTGACGTCAGCTCAGCACAAGACAGGGTGCGCAGGCCTTCTGCCATTTTTGTACCACGGACTATTCTGTGAAATGGGTTTCCGAGACCGAGCTGCCCATTGTCAGCTCCAGGCACCCGCAGTTCTTTTGTTGGGATTTTGAGAAGCCTCCACTCAGGTGGCTCGTCAATCATACGACATGCACTTTTGATTCTACCACCCCCGCACAAAAGGATGCACACCCACAAACAAATAAGCGCATATCAGCATGCCTTGCGTAGCTGACACTTTGTTCGAAGCTTACAGGGAGGTTGCTTTTTCCCGGGAGTGCGTTTCGCAGGGGCCATCTTGCGCCACCGCTGGTGGAAGAAGCGGTTCCCTCAAAGAGTGACTCTACATATCACAAGGTCCGTTTATTCTTGAGATAACTGGGTGTTATACTTGAGGACTTTTTCCGCCCACCCACCCACCCACCCACCAACCCACCCACCCACCAACCCACCCACCCCTCAAGCATGCAAGCAAGCCAGCAAGCAAGCAAGCAAGCAGTTCAAACCCACCAAAGCCCACACTAAACACCCTTTTGCAAGTCAAAAGCCCACACCAAACCCACCTTCAACCCACCCCAAACCAACGCTAACCCTCCATGAGCTCTCCCTAAACCTACCTGAAACCCAGCCTAAGCGAACTCAAAACCCATCCAAAACCTACCCTGAACCCATCCTAGGTCTACCCTAAACCCACCCTAAACCTACCCTAAACTCACCCCGGAAAAAAAGGAAAACAACCGCGGGATAACATCCAGCAACAAAGGCCGGCCTGAGACATTCATGTTTGGATGTCAATTCTTGGCCGTGAGCCTGGGCAGGTTGATGCAAGTTCTGCGAATGCCGCTCGGCAAGACTACCATTGACCACCTGCAAGCGTTGGGTGCTGGTTTGCAGCTTTGGTTGTGGCTTTGCGCACACTGGTTTGAGGGAACACTTTATTGGAAGCTTGCGGGGTTCGTGGGCTCGCCTTCAGGTGGCCGAAAGGGGCTCACCAGTCTTGAACCAAGAGGGTTGCCCTGCTAACGCTTGAATGGGGATGTGATATGGTTGCGGGGTGCGCTCAGATGAAGAGGGAGCTAGGTTCCCGCATATTCACAAATGCCAGCGGCAGTTGACAGAATCAACTTCTTGTAAATGAGCACATGGCGCCTTCACCTCGCAAAGGCCGATGTGTAGCAAGACCAGCTCAACTTCCCAAATTGCTGCCTTGAAATTGCTTGGACCTGTGTTTGATCCTCTTCGCCTTTGGGGCAGCTTGCTGTGGTGGAATAAGTTGTTTGTTCGGACTGTGTAAGACTCAGACTGATCACTCTGGGTCCTTGGTTAGTCAGCGATTCATGAACCTTTGCAGAGAGGAACCCTCGCGTCCATGTGAGCACAGTGTTTTCACATGTCCAACGCACTGGTTGTGGTTTGTTTGTTTCAGTCAGAACATTTTGCCTATACCCAAAATCCCTCATGGTTGGCTTCTTGTTGATTGCACTTTAAAAATGGCCCCACATGGGTTCCCAAGTTTGAGACATTCCCGTTGGAACTTGAACGCAGCAGCCAAGCGACTTGTTCAGGCAAGAGCAATTTGCTGAGGGGCTGCGCATTCCGTAGCGAATGCGCCTCGCAGGAGGGGGGTGGGACCTGCCGACGCAAAGGAAAAAGCGGCGGACGGACCTGTGGAGCTCGCAACTAAATTGGCAAATCCATTTGTGAGTCGCCAAAGTCAATGCAGCTTGCTGAGAGTCAGGCCAGGTCAGGCAAGTGTTGCGACTCTCAGCTGTGTGTTTCATTTTGCTTTATTGCCGTTATTTGTCATACATAGACTTCATAATATGGTTTCACGAACAGAGTTGGTTGGCGCGTATTAACGCTGTATTGCCACACATTGGTGGATTCGCCAGGGAAAGTCTATGGCGCCCAACCAGCGCGTTTTACTGGGTTTCCCACGCGTGGCACAGTTGGAACGAGCGCTGGAAGAGAAGCAGCAGCAACTCGAGCCGCGGGCCTAATGAAAACGGCTGGAAGTGCGTACCTGATTCGGCACCCAGCAGGGATAATTGGATATCTACTTTCCGAGTAACTCCAGACAGGTGCAATGTCAAGCACTTGGTTGTGTTACCCTGCAGGATTGTGACCTCTTCTCTGAGGAGTTCTAATAACTAGGGCCTAATAGGGAACGTTGCTCCTTGTCGCTGTCAGATCTGACCCTACCCGAGGCTGGCCCAAAGCTTGGCACAGAAGCGCATCGAGGACAATAGACAAGCGAATCGTCCTGTGGTGCACACGGAACATCGGCGTTGAAATCGCTGTGGGTCAAAACCAATGGTACCATTTTGGGGTAGGTGCACCACCCATTTTAGAACTTATTTTAGTGGGGATTGGGATGTTCACTGGGGGTACGGGATTTTGACCCATGGCCAAATTAGGCTAGTGAGGCACTGTGTCATGCGTGTATATCGCGTATTGTTCCAGCGCACACGTAGTATATATTGTGCATGTACACATTTGCATCACTTCAGGGCACTTGAACAAGGGACACGTACTGATGAAAAGCAAACTGTCAGCTGACGCGCTCAGGGAAGCATCTCATGTATCACGCATGTCTTTCTTTCAAGGTCGAGAGAAGTTCTACAACAGGTTGTTTGCCGTACATTGAAGTTTCTTCCTAATTACCCACAAAGCCACATTGTTTACAAGGCTTCCAGTTGCTATGAGATGCCGTGAGGAGATTGCGTCGAAGGCCAAAGAGCGATTTCTGCAGGTGTGGGGCACGTGGTTTATATTGTCCCGATCGCTACCTTGGCTGGCGAAGTGTGGATCCGTTGCTTCCAAGTGTTTACCTAGCTGTTCATCTGCAATCGCAGCTCTGAAACTACAGGGCGGACTCTGTCAAAAGTTATTTGGCCAAGATATAGCCCTTAGCGAAGAATGCTGCCAGCGTACATACCTGGCATGGTTGCTGATTTGAGAGCTTGTGAACCATGGCGTCGATCGAGGCCGTGCGAGCCACGCGCCAGGCCACTGAGGAACATGAAAGAGAAAGAGAGGCATGGAAGGGTTGGGTGGTAAGCTGCAACTCTATGGAGAAGTGCACGTCTCGTGCCGACTGCACATAAAGACGCGGCAGTTTAATGCTGGGAAACTACGTCACAGTTCTCTGGCTGCACGATGAGGTTGTACATGGCGTGATTGTTGCGGGGCTTCCAGCCAGACTCCGTGGTCATGAGTCGCAAGCATGACTTGCAAGCCCCATGGCTCGACATGGCCTTGGCCGGATTGGATGTGGATGGGCTTCACACACCAATATTGGCTTGTCCTCATATAAGTTCATCTATGGGCCATGAGCCGGAGCTTGGGAAAGGCTTTCTGGGGTGCTAGCAGCATGAATGGCACATGCCCCACCAGATCGTGGTGACTTGTCCGGGTTTTCCAGCAGATTCTGATGTGTGAATGCGCAGCTTTGTCTCAAGAGCCGCCCAACGACTGAAGCCAAGCAGCTGAGACACACCTCACAGCACCGGTCTCTACCAATGAATCAACAACAGTGGCGGAGAGGAAAGCACAAGTTGCCATTTGCTGGCTTGGTGCCAAAGTGCAAGCGAGCACGTGAAACACAATCCGGTTTCTTGTGTTTTTTTAGATGCTACTTGCGCAAATGGGCATTCCCCACAATCAGTGGTTATGAATTTGTTGCAGGACTTTTACAGGCCCCGGATGAGGGCATCCAGAGTACCTACCCAAAACCATCAGTAATATGGCTTGTCGGTGGTTATATGTTCATTTCAGGTGTGTAAGAAGGACATTAGATAATTACCCTTTTGAGTGTACTCGGACCATGGAGTCAAGCAGCCTGAAGCCACGAACATCGCAGCATAGACCCGAAGCAGCAGCGCCATGCGGCTCGTTGCCAACTGATTCTTGATACTTAGCTTGGCCCAAGGCCATAAGTCGCTGCAACGGGTGAGCCCAGGGTTAAGCCAACGGGTGAGCCTCATGTGCGTTTAGCGACGAAAGATGCAACGTAGCAGCCCGTGCCTAAGGTGAACTGATTGGCTTTGTGACATGTGTTTCACTGTGCACGCTTGGCATGCCGGCCTGCACAAGCCTGTTGACTATGGAAGACGGTTGGCCAACAATCACTACTTGTGTTCTTGTCATAACAGTTGGTTGGGAAGAAGGCAACCCGTATGTTGTGTCTGCGGAAGCGAATCTGCGCGAATGAGAGGTTGCGTGAGCTGTGTCACTGACAACATGGGGTTGAACACTGTGCAGCATTGTTTCAAGCTTGTTTCCGGACATTGTTGCCACCGTTAGCTGGGATCTATCACCTACTTACAAGATAGCCACCACCAAGTGTACAATTATTTTTGATCGAATCACGGTGGATTGAGTCATCATAGCCAAATGCAGCCAATATCTGCGGAACTATAGCTACGCCGGGAACTCTGATTCCGGGCGATGACCTGTGGCCGACGTATTGGTTGCCGTTTGCTCATACTATCCTTTTTGATGCCCGGGTAGGTTGACTTGTCTTTTGCCAGATTTGTCCGAGGAAGCGTTGCTGTTTCAAGATGGCAAGGCAGTTGCGGGGAAGTTCTATAACTCTGCGCAACAGCAGATGCTGTCGCAGAGCTCAAAGCATGGGCAATATTGCACTTATAGGTTCTAAATGTGAACTATCAGATATATAGGAAATGTCTCCAGTTTCGTCACGGCTAACTTCATTGCTCTCGTCTACATCGCTCTCGAGTATTGATGCATGCTATGGCATGCTGCGTGTGCATGACTTGGGGGCGCAAGTTCAACATGCAGAGATGCTTGATCCCACCAGTTGTTTTTCCCAAGCGTTGTAATTTCTTGTCCTGGTTGTGTCATGGTTGAGGGCTGTGCTTAAGACTTGACCCTTGTTGGTCCTTGGCAGTTTTACTTGCCAATCTCACCAAACCCCATTCAATCCGATAATCTTCTCCAGCTATCTCGAGCCACTTGCCTTGAACATCCTGGACCCGTCGCTGAGCGGGTCCCCCTTTGTTCACCCTGATCGACATCAGTTCCCAGGCCCCCGGAGAACGCCTCGGGAGAGGGCTGCGGCCTCAGGCACTGGGTCTTGCAACGAGGGGAATGGATCTTCCTGGGCAAATGAGAACGAGCTCACCTGAATCAAAAAAACATCTCACTCATGAGCATGGGCCCTGAGTACGGGTTCCCCCGTTTCCAAATGGAATTTGTCTTTTAGTTTTCCAACTCTGCGAATTGTCATGCCAGCAGGGATCGAATTTGCTGTTGGCGTGGCGGGAACCTTCCGAACGTGGCCAGACACGTGCAGCATACCTACTTTGATTTGACAACAGAGTCTATCAAATGTTTGAGTTCAATTCCTAGGAGATGCCCGCAGAATTGGCTCTCAATCCTGTGTTTCTTTAACGGATTTAACATGGCTGCATAAACAGAAAGCCCTTGGCACTACGACGTTTAGCCGCTCAGCCTTGCCTTGAGTCCCTCCAAAACAGCGGTTGAGCAAAGCAGCAGTGGTTTGCTTCCTGTTTTTGTCAGTGTTGCTTGACGCAGTGGAGACCTACAATATATGCTTACTCGGCCTGTGGTCCGCTTCAACACCGAAGCTAAGGCTCATTGTCTGCCCGGTGCCAAGGCTGACTATGTGGGAAGGACGGATCGACGAGAAGATCGGCGCGATGATAGAAGGGATGACCGATATGACAGGCGTGACGAGAGAAAGGATGACAGATTCCATGATCGGCGCGATCATCGGCGAGATGAGCGTCGAGAGGATAGAAGAGACGAACGACGGGATGATAGAAGAGAAGAAAGAAGAGACGAAAGAAGAGATGAGAGGCGAGATGAAAGAAGAGAAGAGCAAAGAGATGAAAGAAGAGATGGTCAAAGAGATAACCACAGCTACGAAAGAAGGGATGAACAAAGCCGCAGCCTTAGTATTGCGATAATGCTAGGCACGCAAATGTGGAAGGATGTAGTTGTGAGAGTGTGTGTGTGTTTACGGTCTGGTTTTTGAAGCTTGCCGATTACATTAAACTCCATGCAGTCCCATAGCTCTCTGCAAGCTAGATTTAAGAGTCCAGCTTGGTCTTATCTTGATGTTTGTGTGTGGTGGCTTCAGCAGGCTTGACATGCGAGAACCAGATAACCAGCATCAAAACACAATTCGACAATGACCTTGGCCCTCTCCTGGCAATTGGCAGACTACCACATTATGCTTGCCGGGCAAGCTCGTATTCTTCTATGGAAAGTGGTGTTGGTTTGGCGCCTTGTCAAGAAGCTGGGATTTGCATTGCCATTCGAGCATAGGCCATGTGCATATCCCCATTGTTGAGTTTCGCCCAGTTTTCCGTTTGCCCCAGTCGGTCCTGGCAACTATACATGTTCTTCCGACCGCTAAACATGGCCACCGGGCAACTAGCCCTCTCTCCGATGCAACATGTGCAACCCAGGGCCACAAGATGGCTATGGCTCTGAGAGGAGGCGCGTCATTTGGCATTGGAAGGGCGCTACCCGAGTGAAACTATGCAACGAAAACGCACACGTCCGCCGTTGGAGGCTTGGTTCTTGTTTCTGAGCATGCAAGAGATCGCGCATGCTTTTTCCGGGCTTCTTGGTTTGGAATTCGGGGTTCGAGCGAAACCTAAGGCCAGCCATCGAGACAGACACCAAGTGATGCAGGGTTGAATATCAGCTGAGGGATCAGGCGAGATATCAGTTTTCATGGTTGCTGTTGGGAAGCATTTTACATTTTTGCTTACTGTGGTTTAGTGGGAAATCCCCACTGAACTGCTAAGGTTTAATTTGTTGCTCCCCTTCCAACGTCAACCAAGTTTGCACGTCGATTGTTTGTTCAGGTAAAGGCATCTGTAGAATGTTCTGGGGATCTGGGCGGGGCAGGGTGGGACTGACTTGATCTTGATGAGGTTGACCAAGTGGGATTGAGATTTGAAGATGTGATCATTCGCTTGCATGCATTTAGGCTCACGGGTCTTAGCTTGATTTGGACGCGGGACATTTGGGAATACTACTGGTCCGGTAGCAGCTTTACTGGATATGTCCAAAGGATGGCCTACCAATGCCATCGCTAAGCTCAAACCCAAACGCCTGGCAAGAGCCCATCCGCAACAGAGCCAAGCAGTCTTCATCAAATAAATGTGTTTCAGAAGGTTTATATATATATATATATTGTCGGACCGCTGCCAGGCGAAGTCGAAGCTTGCCACTCAGATTGTTCTGCGCCGCCACGGAATTTCACCGAGCGTGTGTGTTCAGAGGTATGGGGTCGGGATGAAATATGTATCCTTGACCTTCCAAAGACACGCAAAACGCAGGTTGTACGACATACACCCCGCAAAAAACAGGTCGACCCAAAACGTTGCGAGATAGGACCCCTTTTGCAGCAGTAACTGATTTCATCTGGCGCCACCATTCAAACAGACATGGTTCCACTCAGGCACATCATCGAAATTGTCATCCTGAGGAAATCTTCGCAATTTGCTCACTGCCTTCTGGCCTCGTGTCGCGTATATACCGGGCCCCTCGCCCTTTGAAGCTTGGCCGGTGGAGTTCACGCTAGTATCACGCCCATCTTTCGTTTTTTCACGGTCGTTCGTGCCTTTCAGGAGTCGTTCCCGCAAAATGGGGGTCGCTGTCACGCCAAACTCACGCTATTCTTACGCTACACTCACGCTCCAATCAGGGGTCAGATTGTCAAGGACTCTTACGCTGAGGTTTGGTGGTTTACGTTTTGCAGGGGAGATTCCTGCAAAATGCTGGCCACTGTCACACTAAAGTTACACAGCGCCCAGCGGTGGAAATTCAACTGGTGAACTGATTATAGGTTCCAAACTGTTATGCATTGGAAGGGTCTTGGAAATGATGGCTTTATATATACATATATAATTTTATGGGGTCCTTTGCCAGCGACCTTGAACATGTTAGTGTCTTGCCGTTTTTCACACGCTGGGGGATCAACCAAATGATGACTTGTTTTTTCATGGTCCTGGAAAGATGCTAGTCGCATACTGGCTAGTGCTGAAAACAGGGTCGAGGCCGCCGATTTGCAGGCTGCATTCCGTAAGTCACGGAGAGACCCGGAAAAGCGTGTCGAGGAAAATCAAGGCATTAATAAATGATTGCGCGCAAATGTGCCATGAAACATGATGGGAGAACGGCGCTTTGAGCAGAGCAATGGTCATGTAGCTGTTGGAAGCCTAGGGCTTATACGCTAGGGAACATGTATCTGGAGAATAAATCATGCCCCCCCCTGCCGGGAACCGCGGCGGGGGGGGGGGAACAAGCGAGCAGACAGCAAGCTCAGCTCATTATTTGCAGCAGACTTGACTGGGGGCAGCCAGTGGAAAGCGAGGCTGCTGTTTGACCCTGGTCCTGACCCGTTTATTTGTACCCCCCTGCGCCATTTGTGTGGGGACTGGTTGGTGGCACATTCAGATGCGACACCTTTTGTTGAGGAGTTTGGTCTACTTGTTGGATGCACAGAACAGGATTGACGCTTCTTGCTCTTCCCAAAGCAGCTACTGTCTAGGTCGAGGTCATCTGCACTCCTGCATTTTGTTCTAGTACATATATACATATATTATGTGACATATGTATATATATATATAGGTCTTTGATTTAGTGGATGCTCTGCGTGGCAAGGTCGACGGAATGAGCAGCCGCCGGCGCAGGAGCAGATGCAGGAGGGCGGGAGGCAGGCTGCGGTGACTGCGCATTACCGAGCTGGACCAGGTTCTCAAGACAAGCAAACGCAGACGTTCAACATGACTTTGTTGGCTGCAAAAGACCAGTCAAGTGATGGAGGACAAGTAATGGAGAATGTTGGCAGGCACCGTTTGCCCGTATGGATGATGACAAGGGGATGCTCATTTACAGTGGATCAGCTTTTTCTTTACACCGCCCCTTGCACGCGACAGTGTCTGAAAAATGAGGACCCCCAAAGTGGTGTGGTTTCCCTTTCAAACCACCCCGAAGAAGGGAATCCCAAACCAGCCACGGCCATGCATGACCCATCGTACCCAGCCCATCCACGTCTCTCTCCATCCCAGGGAGCAGCAGTCTGAGGAGAGGAGGCCACGTAGGAGGAGATGGGGATGCAGCTGGCTTTGGCCGAAGGGTTCCCATTCCAGTGGTTGAATTTCTGCTTGGCTGGGTTCCTATCTTACAATGGTCAACCCCAAAATCGGTTCCTTGTTCTACTGCCGAGCAAATAGGGGGGTTGTTCCAGGATGTCATTAATTTAATGGCATCCTAGGAAGCCAAAGTCGCAGTGACATACTCCCCCCCCTGCATTTTTAACATAGCAAGGAAAATCCAGTGCTTGCATGCAGGGTTTTGCGCGAAAACTGATATTTGGTCCCTGACCAATCAAATGTTTTTGTCGTACGCTTCCTTGCGTGTGGAGCCGCACGGGACAGACGAGACGGGGAAGGCCCTTCTTATTCATTTGACCGTCGTATTGTTTGTGAGTGGGGAAAGGAAACAAGTTCACCCATTAGAGTGCAGGTAAGGACAAGACTATATTATGTGTATTGAATTCCACACCAGCGAGGGCATGCTGACCGACATGTGAGTTTGCTTCAAGGAGAGGCTTCGAGGATGTGCCCCCGGTCCTGCCCAACCTGGTGCGGGCCTTGGGAAGTTTGTGGCGGGCCTTGGCATAGAGCGAACCACACCACAAACCCAATCGCCTTGGGAATCGAACTGGACAGTGACGTGAAATCATTGCGTACAGTCAGCCCCCTGCTGCGCTGCTACGCTGCATCTTATGTGTTTCACCTATCTTATGCACACGCACACACACAGAATGACCTGCCGCGAAACGCAAGACAAACGTCGATCACTTTATGCCTTCAGCCCGGGGTGGTTCATGGATGCCTTGCAGAGCGGGGTTGCACTAGCGCCTCCATTTTTTCGAGAGGCCTGTGTGGCTTGCAGTCTGCCGGAAGGAGCGCGGACATGGCAAAATGCCCAGGAAGTTGCAGACGTTAGGGGCGGCAAACTGGAACCCACTGGGCGTGGCGGACACATATTCAACGATTGCAAGTGTGGCATCCAGGAATGTTGAGTTTCTGCCAACAGATTCAGGATTTGTGAGTAGTTTGTTGATGTTAGTTGCATGTGGCTCTTGTACCTCTTCCACAATGGTTTTATTCCAGGTTCCTGTCATCAATGCAATTGTCCTGCAATAAAGCCCCAATTCACTTGTGCCAGGGAATATATCCACTTGTTTTGTAATGCGCTTTCTTTTGGGCAGTTCTAAACGGTGCCTCTCAAACAGTGGCTCTCTCAAACAGTGTGACACGCAAGAGTGGGTCAAGCGCGGCCTTCCATTCGATTAAGCCAGCAATGCCGGCATGATCGACTACCAACCACGTTGCAGTTGCGCGTCATGAAGTACCAAGGATGCCAGCATGCGCTCAAAAGGCAAATCTGACTTTCTGGTGCAGTGTATCATGCAAGAGTGGGCCAAGCGTGGTCTTCCATTCGATTAAGTTGGCAATGCAGGCATGATCAACTACCAACCACATTGCAGTTGCGTGTCATGAAGTACCAAGGATGCCAGCATGCGCTCAAAAGGCAGTCAGGCAAATCTGATTTTCTGGCGCAGTGTGTCATGCAAGAGCGGGTCAAGCGTGGTCTTCCATTCGATTAAGCTGGCAATGCAGGCATGATCGACTACCAACCACGTTGCAGTTGCGCGTCATGAAGAACCAAGGTTGCCAGCATGCGCTCAAAAGGCAGTCAGTCAAATCTGACTTGCTGGAGCAGTGTGTCATGCAAGAGCGGGCCAAGCGTGGTCTTCCATTCGATTAAGCTGGCAATGCAGGCATGATCGACTACCAACCACGTTGCAGTTACGTGTCATGAAGTACCAAGGATGCCAGCATGCGCTCAAAAGGCAGTCAGGCAAATCTGACTTGCTGGAGCAGTATGTCATGCAAGAGCGGGCCAAGCGTGGTCTTCCATTCGATTAAGCTGGCAATGCAGGCATGATCGACTACCAACCACGTTGCAGTTGCGCGTCATGAAGAACCAAGGTTGCCAGCATGCGCTCAAAAGGCAGTCAGGCAAATCTGACTATCTGGCGCAGTGTGTCATGCAAGAGCGAGTCAAGCCTGGTCTTCCATTCGATTAAGCTGGCAATGCAGGCATGATCGACTACCAACCACGTTGCAATTGCGCGTCATGAACCAAGGTTGCCAGCATGCGCTCAAAAGGCAGTCAGGCAAATCTGACTTGCTGGAGCAGTGTGTCATGCAAGAGCGGGTCAAGCGTGGTCTTCCATTCGATTGAGCTGGCAATGCAGGCATGATCGACTACCAACCGCGTTGCAGTTGCGTGTCATGAAGTACCAAGGATGCCAGCATGCGCTCAAAAGGCAGTCAGGCAAATCTGATTTTCTGGCGCAGTGTGTCATGCAAGAGCGGGCCAAGCGTGGTCTTCCATTCGATTAAGCTGGCAATGCAGGCATGATCGACTACCAACCACGTTGCAGTTGCGTGTCATGAAGAACCAAGGTTGCCAGCATGCGCTCAAAAGGCAGTCAGGCAAATCTGACTTGCTGGAGCAGTGTGTCATGCAAGAGCGGGCCAAGAGTGGTCTTCCATTCGATTAAGCTGGCAATGCAGGCATGATCGACTACCAACCACGTTGCAGTTGCGTGCCATGAAGAACCAAGGTTGCCAGCATGCGCTCAAAAGGCAGTCAGGCAAATCTGACTTGCTGGAGCAGTGTGTCATGCAAGAGCGGGCCAAGCGTGGTCTTCCATTCGATTGAGCTGGCAATGCAGGCATGATCGACTACCAACCACGTTGCAATTGCGCGTCATGAAGTACCAAGGATGCCAGCATGCGCTCAAAAGGCAGTCAGTCAAATCTGACTTGCTGGAGCAGTGTGTCATGCAAGAGCGGGCCAAGAGTGGTCTTCCATTCGATTAAGCTGGCAATGCAGGCATGATCGACTACCAACCACGTTGCAGTTGCGCGTCATGAAGAACCAAGGTTGCCAGCATGCGCTCAAAAGGCAGTCAGGCAAATCTGACTATCTTGCGCAGTGTGTCATGCAAGAGCGGGTCAAGCGTGGTCTTCCATTCGATTGAGCTGGCAATGCAGGCATGATCGACTACCAACCGCGTTGCAGTTTGGCGTCAAGAAGCTTCAAGGTTGCCAGCATGCGCTCAACAGGCAGTCAGGCAAATCTGGAAGAGCGGATCAAGCGTGGTCTTTCACGCGATTAAGCTGAGAATGAAGGCATGATCGACTACCAGCCACATTACAGTTGCACTTCGATGAGCCTGTATTTGTGTTTTCCATTTTTGCTTGCAGCAGCAGTTCTGCTAGCTGCTGCTTTTGAGCAGTTGACGATGTCGTTCAGTGTTGTCATGCAGTCAACACTTGCGCAAGCATGCTTCAAAAAGGCAGTCGGGTGAATCTGGCTTTCCCAAGCTGTGAAGCATGCAAGAGGTGGAATAAGCATGGTCTTCCATTGCATTTATGTAGCTCGCTTTGCAGGCCCCATGGACTACCGCACATGGCAAAAACAAATGCTTTCTCCCATGTCTAGAAAAAAATCCAAGTACTCTCCAACCAGCAGTGGTTGGGTGCCACTTGGTACTTTTCGGTTTTTCGGCTTGCACGGGAGAGATGGACCGAGGACCCGGTGCCGGGCGCCAAGTCTCAGCCGCCGCTTCCTCCAGGCTCGGAGCCCCGAGAAAGTCTCAGGACATGTGGCTGGTGGTCAAAACCGTTATGGATCCCAGTTTGGCGTTTTGGTGAATTCACCCATTTTAGTGTTTGGGCCAGGATAAGTGCACCACCCATTTCAGAACCTTTTTGTCTTGGGGATTGGGATGTTCACTGGGGGGATGGATTTTGACCCATGGCCATGTGGACTCCTGATATCGTGTGAATGGTAAGCCGTGAAGGTTTCTTTCATGTGGAAGCTTGTGTTCTGCTTTTTGCGAAGTGTTCTTCATCCAGCAGACAGCTACTTGCAATTCAAAGCCAGAAACTTCGGATCCGCTGCTGCACGGAAGCTGTCCTCTTTGCATGACTCGCTTCCAGAACCAGTTGACACACCTGGTTACCTGGACAACAGAAGTCACCTCTCACTTGGGTATGGCTCAAAATGCTTCCCCAGTTTTAGTGGCTTGAAACCGGAGAAATCGCAGGGTGGAACTGAATGGCCCTTGCCCTTTTCGTTCCGGGGTCCACCCCTCAGACCTTGTTTGGCAGGTCTCAAACACGGGGCAAAGCGGGGAGGGAGCCAGGTGCTGCACCAGCTCCGTTCCGAGCTGAGAGTTGGTTGGTTGGCATCGCTTTGGCCAGCAAACCGTGATAAGGCACACCATTTTCCCATGGTTTGGTTCGCAGGTGGAAGTCGACTGTGTTGAGACCACGCCAGTCAACGAGATCATTTGTGGTACAGATGCACGGTGCCCCTTCCCCGTACTCAGGCCAGATGTGCCAGAATGGCTCACTGACATTTTCGGTGGCGCGGCAAGGCTCTTAGCAGTGCTTGGGCGCACCCGCGATGCCGGACTTCTTCGGCATGCGTTGAAATGTTTTACGCTTCAGAGTGGCTGTATGGTTAGGCAGGTACGTACATGTAAGTGCAGGTTTCAATTTTACTGGCCCTCATGCAGAAGCCCTGCTAGTCCTGCTGTATGCAAATCGTGCTTGAGGGAGTGTTTGTTGATGGCACATTCGAGAATCTGAGGTACAATCGGGGTATTTGCTAGATTGCATATCAAACAGAGCGATGAGTTGATGGCTCGGATAGGTTGTGTGTTGGTGCCATCCAAGCATCTAACCTGCCATGCCCCAAGACATAGATCAAAGCAGCACAGCATAATGCAGACAACGACATTGGAAAAGCAGCGATTTCAAGCCTCCACTGAGGGACGCCTTACACTTGTCAGCGCTAGGGCAGGCATGAAACATTTTGTGAGTATGTTCTGGCTGTAGCGGTCAACCTTAGCCGCTGCAGGGAGGTTCTTGTCAACATTGCTAAGTTTGCCGAAACGCAGGGCTTAGTCTGAGCCGCTTTGCGAAAGTTCAAGCATTCGATTCTTTTTGAGATAGTGGCCCCCACAATGAGTTAATGCGCTCTTACGCGTCTTGTTCAGCTTCTTGGTGCCCACTTCTGGCCCGGTATTCGTTTATAACATTTATAACTGTTGAGATCACGTGGCAAGGATGGGAGTGGTGCGAAGTCTGCCTTGGGTGAAGAATTCTTCAGGTGCCATCCAACATGGATACTTTGTTGACAGAGCCGGGCACCCAAGTACCGTCGTGAGCAAGGCATTAGGTCCCAGACACGATGCTTTGGCATCAACAGATTCGTCCAACTGCAAAACGTTACTGTTTGTTATTTCGAGGCCTGTGAACATGGCATGCTTCCGGCTGGTGTTTTTTGCAATCGCGGGAACACTGGGTCACTCCCTGTTGCATTTGCGACCTATTGTTCATGTGAAGTCGAAGTTGGCATTGTCCTGCCTTGTTGAGTCGGAGTTGCACGCCTTCTGATCAATTCTCCTGGCTATGGCCACCTTTGACTACGCCAACACTGTGTAGTGGCCATGACTTGGTTTGGTAACGATGAGCAAACGTGGCTTGTCCCCAATTTTGAGGGATCTCTTGAGGACTTGGGTATTTGAGTCAGCGCGGGTGCCCTCACTTCACTGGCGGAGTCCATGCGTTTGATCAGCTCTGGCACCAGGATCAGACCAAAAGGGCCCTCCCGACACATTGCGGAGTGGTATGCTGCAATGGTTACAGCCATGGAGGGTGCAAGAGTCATTGACTTTTCGGGGGGGGATGAGGGGGGGGGCTACTTCCTTTGTCCATAAGGGTTGGATAAGCTTGGGAAAAGGACATAATTCTGCTTAGCTCATTGCCATGTCTTCACTCACATGGTGTTCGTATATGGACTAGTGCCACGGCCAAGCCGGTTGGGCTTATTTTGTGGTTCCCCTGGGCGTCCTGAGCTTGTCCTCTTATTCTGGGCTTATCCTCGGCGTCGGCTTATCCGGGGCTTGCCCCGGGCTTATCCTCGCGTTATTCGGGCTTATGTTGGACTTATCCTCGGCTTATCCTCGGCTAATCCATAAGGGCTGAATAGACCCTTAATAAACCTTTAATAAGGTCTTATTAAGGCCTTATTCGAGGGTTCTTAATCTCTCAAAAAGAACCGTGGGGAAACAGGCGCTTAGACTCACCCTCCTGAGAAGCGCCGAGCGTACCAAGTGGAAAATCACTCGCTTGCGATGGAAAGACTCTTGACTACCTCACACCTGTCAATGCGGGTCACTCCACTAAAACAAACACGTAAGACCATTTGTCACCAGCAGAGGGCCTGAAGTAAAAACATGCTTTTGTCCCACTGAAGAATCTGCTGCTTAGGCTTGCACAAAGAACCGTTCTTATCATTGTGTTCTTCAAATTGTTAGGGTCTTAAGAAGGGCTTATTTTCCTTTTTTTGGATAAGTGTTCATTTAAATCCTATCAAAGCCTTAACACGCCTATGATGAGATCTTATTAAAGGTTTATTCAGAGAAAGCGCCACTATACCCTAACCATGTTCTTGTGAATAATTGAAGTGGCCCCCCCCCCTCATAGCCTTTCTGGGCATGCCATGAAAGAGACGTTTGGACGCGGCGCACCTGGCATGAAACAGGGCGGATGAGAATGTATTTTTGTTCTAGTGACAGGAGAACCGCCTACCAAGTTTTGTCGAATAAAAGAAGGATTCGTGATTTCTTCTTTCGGCTGGCAGTTACAAGCCAGCCTTCGCAGGCCTCCGGCGTCTGCGCCAGGCCCTTCCGAGAGGTCCAAGTGCCCCAGCGCCTGGTGGCCGGGCTCATAGCCGTAGCTCACGCGAGAGCTGGCTGCAGCACTGCATGTAAGTGCTGTGGGGCAAGGAACTCAAACAATGGATCCATTTAAAAGCCGAGGAGCTGAGAGTAGCTTCAGACTTGGTTTCTGAGACTCTCGTCTGAACCGACCTAGGCACGACTGATCGGCAAGGGTGGCGAGGCTGGATGGTTTTTGCTGTCCAGACTCATGATCACTGCTGCACAACCTTTAGCCAAAGCCCTCTATGGACAGGCCCTGCCTCTTGTACATGGGCCCTGTTCGTGAAAGCGAGTTTTGTTCGCCATCCTTCTTTTTGCTCCTCCTTCCAAGCGGACAGAGCCCATGAGGCACTAGGGGATGAAGCATCCACAATTTTTGGCAAGTGGTGATACCATTTAGTAGCTTGTCCGTCCTGTTGCGGCTGTTCCCGACACTGAGCAGCTTTCAACCACCAGGTTATCATGGCCATGTGCAACTCCACTGGCGCCGATATCAAGGTGGGTTGAGCAAACAGACATCGCACCGGGAGCGGTGATTCTGCGGGGATCTCCGGAGTGTGTGCCAAAATAGGGGAGTCCCAAAATGGTGGTGTTCTTTTTGGTTTCCCGACCTGCAAAGGGTAGCATCAAAAAGAACACACACACACACACACATCTGTTTTCAGCAGGCAAAGTGGACCACATTGACAGAGCACCACTCTACACACTCCGCATACTTTTCGACGAGGTGCGCCAGGAGACGAAGCACATGGGATATAGTCGGCTGCCCGGATCATCAAAACTCAAGGGAGACTCCTTGCCGGCCCGTCATGTTCGGCTCAGTTTGTGGATGTTTGCTTTGAGAAATTTCAATTCGCTGGCACAGCTCGGGCCATTGACTGCGCAAAGTGAAGGTGTGCATGGCCCCTGCTTGGAGTCTGGGGGGGTTGCATGTGAGATTTAAGAATGATTTGCGAGGAAATTGCCGCACAGCGGCAAATTGTGCGCGTTGGAGAATTCCACAAGTTTCTTCGTTCGCATGGATGCAATGTTGAGATCTTCCTTTTTGCTGGTCAGGGTTTCTCCTTGTCAGAACCTTTCCAGAACCCATGTTGCCTCATAATTTTGACACGGTTCCTTCGGAGGGTCCATCGATCCCGTCCAAGCCCAGGCTTGGCCATCATCACAGGTCCAGAGAAGGCCCAGAAGGCGGCAGTGGGGCAAACTTTTGACGCTACGAGGGTTTGCGACGTCACCCATAATACTTTTTTTTGCAGAACACAAATCCGTCATGAATTTACTTGAACCCATCCTATTTCTCGAAAAGGACGCATAAGGCAGGCCATCCGTGAGTTAGGGAAAAGATGGCCCTTATTTATATCAGATCTTTGAGTTCAAACAAGCTCACGGTGACAACCCAAGAGATCTCACTGCGCCCTAGGAGTGGATGAATGTAAGTATTGTTTCTAAAACATGTTCCTTTGTTCTTTCCACCCGTTGATTTGTTGCAATCGCCATCCGTTTTCTGCGGGTGTCCGGCTTTTTTTGTGAAAAGAAGGGGAAAGAAGCACAGCCTCGCTAGGTGGCAGAGGAGCTGGTGAAGCAGAGGCTCTCACCTCAGATCTCTTGGTTTTCCCTGGTCTACCTTTAAAACCATCCGAAAGGGATCAGTTTCCCCTGGCGACATGCTTCCACTTGCAGTCTGCCTTTGAGTTTCCAGGGATGGCTTCGCTTTGACCACGTGGCAAACTTGAACTCGGAGCATGCCAAACTGAATTGCTCGGTACCCTCAAAAATCATAGCCAGATTCCTTCTGTGTGGCATGAGTGATGGCTTGCCAAGGCTTGGCATTGCTGGCGAGAACGCGGGCACGTGCTGCTTGCCATTTGCAAGTCTGACGCGTGGGAAGAAAGTGCACCAATCTGAACAGTTTTCCATTCAGGTGCAGTTGATTCCCACGTTGCAATCAGGCAGGAAATCCCTTGAGTTCATGAGTTGTGGTTGACTCATTGCAGTATTCAGGGATTCAACTGTGCAGCAATTTGCTGTGCTTGATTCAGTTGCAGTATTCAGGGGTTCAAGAAAAAATGGGAACACTAATCTGGCCATGGGTCAAAATCCCGTACCCCCAGTGAACATCCCAATCCCCACTAAAATAGGTTCTAAGATGGGTGGTGAATTCACCTAGCCCAAAATGGGATCCCACTGGTTTTGACAACCACAGCCATCTGGAGGTCGCCATGGTGAGGCATCTCTCGGTAGCGTGGCATGCCAGTCGCGAGATCTCGCTGGCCTCGGAGCACGTGAGTGCGCTCATCGGCCAGCAGCTTAAGTGACGAGTTGTTGGGGTGCTCACCATGGCTGTTGTTGGGAAACAAATAAAACACTTTTGCTTATTGTGGTTTAGTGCTTGAAATCCAACCACTTAGCTGCTAAATGTTATGTTTTTGCTCCCCTTCCAACGTCAACCAAGTCATGGGCTGTACTCTCAAAGGTGTGTTTTTTGTTGTAGGGGACCCACTGAAATGCTGGTTGTCCTTGTGGTTTTCCTTTGAAACCACCAAGAAAAAGGGACACGCTCGGGAAAAAAAAAGAAGCACCCCATATGTGTCCTTTTTGTTGAGGTTGGTATCAACACCTGTCTCACTCCGCGAGTTTCTGGCCTGACTTTTTGGCGAACCATAGGCGAACCATGGTGGTAAATGAGCAGTGCGGACTTTGTTTGGCCAATCCCCTTGAGTGAGTTTGCCCAAAGCCAACAAAGCCAACCTTTTAGTCTGGTGGCTTACCTGATTTGGTCCATAGTCAAGGTTTCAAAAGGTGAACCTTTTCTGGGTCCTTTGGGCCACTGAGAATGTGCCTTCCACAGCGTGACTCATGGCATGACTCCTGGAATCGACTATGGCCTGTAAAGAGTTGAGACTGCGTGTTCATGTTGCAAATCATGTGGCATGTTTGGTCGCAAGCATGAATGGCACCTGCCGCAACCAACGAGTAAGACACCTTCGGTGACTTTCACCTCCCTTTGAGCTTTCTACTCACAAGATACAAGTGTGGCACGACTGCCAAGCAGCATAGCTTGTTTGCAAGCAAAATTCTAGGGGCATTCGTAGCAACCTGCCATTGTAATCTAAACTTATTTGCCCTGCGCGCGGCTGTTTCAGCCATCCGTAAGTTAGACTGCGAAGCAAGCGCAAACAACCTTGCTGACAGACAGGCCTAGCCCTGCCGCAGACGTCGAAGCAACGTTTCCACACTTAAACATGTGCAATGTTAGAAATAACCGGCAAGCCGCACATGCTGACACCTGCATGTTTCCAGTGTTGGTTGCTCTGCATACAGTACTGCAGTGCTTCGAACCATGCCTCCCAAGTCAAAGCTTATAGACAGTCACTTCCAGCAGCTTGACATCACATTGACATGAACAGAGGAGGGGGGCAGCACTTCGGAATGGAGAAAGCTCGTAAGACCCGCAACGGCTTCTTGAGCGCATTCGCATGCGATAACAAGCCATTTGCTGCGGTGATTCTGTTTGATCAGTCTTTCAATCATTGCGGCCGCGCCGGGGGTTCCAGTAGACCAGTGGACAATTTTTCGCGTCTGCTGCCTTCTCTGGGTGAAGCATGATGAATATGCGGCTGTGACTGCAGAATCTGATGTTCAAGTCACTTGCAACTCAGAACTAGACAATCTATCCCGGTGATGTCCCGATGTGTGACACCGTCAGTCTGTGCGCCAAACAACACCGAGAATCGCACCACTAGTTTATTGCAAAGAATTCTGGTGCCACTTTTTTTCGGTCATTCCGTTAGCTCCAGGCTGATCCTTCACCCAAGATCTTGTCAAATCCTTCTAAAAGACTTCCTTTGACGAAGTCATCTCCGCTTCGGAAGCCCAACTGTGTGTTGAGTGCGCATGCCTTCATTGGCGCATTGCTGCGACACTCGAGATAGCAGGGAAGAACTACCTGAGACTGGCACCGCTGGTCACTTGCTAAGGGCCCAAGGGCGCGACCATCACTGAGATGCGCCAGCACGGCTTGTTTACGCCTCCAGCGTTCGCACAACTGCTCAAATCGGGCGAATCCTCTTGCAGCTGAAAGAAGTATGCCAAGGAATTTGGCCTTTGTGAATGATTGCCAGCCAACTCATGAAGGCTGCCCACAAACCCAGGAAACTGAGTTGGCGAGAATGCATGTTCCAGATGTCTCCTTGCCCTTTGGAGTTCCTTTGCTTGACATGCCTTGCTCTCACATCATGTTTTGCTCGCCAGGTCTGAAATGCAACAATCTCAACATCGAGATCCGGCCCTCGGAAACTCCCGACGTGACCAGCGCCTCGCACAAGGCGGCACCTGGACGTGCGCTTGAAATGCTCGGCTTGCTGCGTCCTTTTGGGTGGATCGGCATCGGTGTTTAAATTGGTTGCGTAGGTTCATATCGCTTTGAAGGCAAATCACACGCAGCTTGCACTGCCTGGTCATGTCAGTAGGTCAGAGTTTGGACATCAAGGCAAGCGTGCATTCAGTTTCTTATTTGCCAACCAGCTGCATTCACCTGCTGTCTGTCTATATGTGTGTGTGTGCATGCGTGCGTGCGTGCGTGCGTTCGTTTGTGTGCGTGTGTGTGTGTGTGTGTGTGTGTGTGTGAGTGAGTGAGTGAGTGAGTGAGTGAGTGAGTGAGTGAGTGAGTGAGTGAGAATGTGTACGGGGTGGTGATAGGACATCTTTGATATTGGGGACCAACACTGCAGCACATAATGAAAAGTCGAAAGTTGTCAAGGGTCCAGCTCCAATCATAGCGCATTGTTTGGAAGCGACGTTGGTGGACTTTTTCAGAATTCTATTGTTTGCTCAGTTGGAACATGCTGGATGCAAATACATATCATGGCTGATATGTTTGCATGATGTAAGCACACCGCATTTCAATGGGCCTTATGTGTTGCTTTTTCGCAGACATTCACACACGACACACTGATGTATATATATATATACACACATATGCATACACATGTGTATATATGAAGACATGTAATACATATGTCTATGCATGTATATATATATATGTATGTATATGTATGTATATATATATACACATACACATGCATTTATGCGTTTGGTGCGCATTTATCTATATGATTGACAGCTGATTGGTATGCTTGATGTCCTGTAAGCCCTTGGTCCAGGTGATCATGGGTCCTGGCGACGTTACACAGCTGGAAATGGCAGAGGACCGCGGGTGGATGGTTCTAAGGGTTGATTCATTCTTTTCAACCATGGTTCTTTTCCAAAAAACCAGCTGTTTCCCCCTATAATTCTGATGGTTTTCTGAAAAGAAGGATCCCTGGAAAGAATGGGGAAGTGTCCTCTAGAATGGTCACAACATTTCAAAGGTGCCTTACGAAGCGCAGTGGAGCACAGCCTTCACGAACATTTGTGCTGCTTTTTTGTTCCTTGGACTAAAGTTGGCGCATGCGCATGGGGCGAACATGTCATGTCCAAGTGGGTTCAGCGGCCAAGGCTTTGCAGGGCGGCTGATAGCGTGATTGGAGATTTCTTGACCCACTCCTGACTCTGACAGCCAAGAAACAACGCGCTTTGGTGCCCATGTGTCAAATCTTGATGATCACTGCAAACTGCTGGTCCCTGAATTTAGCCCCTGCGTCAGCTTTGGCACTTTGTGAGCAGCAAAGGCGATTTCCCCTTGCACGGACTTGCACAGTGTGGCCCCTCAAAGCTGAATGATCTCCCAAAGTGACGAAACCATCCTGGACATGGTGCGGCACAAGTATATGTGTGGCTTTGGCTTCTGCCACGGGCATCGAAGCTCACCTTCAGCTGGATGAACCATCTCATCGTTCAAAGCACATGATACGTTTGAGCTAGCAGAAATCGCAATGCCTCAGATGCTGCGGCAGCCTTGGAAGTTCCGAAGTTGCTGGACAATTGTCAAACTTCCCGGGTTCATTCGTCCCGAACTGTGAGGAGCTCATCAGGGCGCGCATTGCTCGAGCCCACAGTGGGGGAAGTGGGAGGAACTGCATGCACATTTGAGCGAAAGGGGCCTATCCATTTCATGAAATGAATCGAAACATCACCTAATTGATCTCGCTGATGGTTGTGATTTTGGTGTGCAGGATTGCAAAGCTTGGCATGAGCATTTGTTCTTTCCGTGCTGACAGTTTGGATGCTCCTTTTGAGTGACCTTCCTGTACAGACCTTGGGTCAGGTGTGCCCCATGTTGAATAGAGCTTGAGGTGCAAAGTGGACACGCTGACTTTGGGCACTTGCGGAGACCTTTGGCACCATTTGAGAAGGGGTAGGATGATGCGCATCTGCAGGAGTTTCTCGATCGCCAAGCTTCAGTCGATTTGCCTTCTTTGCAATGCATGTTCTTCGCAATTCGCCCTCAGTGTTTTTGTGGATCTTCCGCCGTAGGCGTGCCCGGGTAGAAGAGGGGTCTACAAGATCCCAGCCAACCTACAAGCGCACGATGGGCTTGTCCCCTCTATCAAAATTGTGGCGCAACGCAGATTTGTTGCAACGGCTCTTCCAGCGACAGAGTCCAATCAACCCAGAACACTTTTCCGCCATTTGGTCGTTGGCAAGCATGGCACGTAGTCGTCTACTGCCATGCCGCGCCATGGAAGCCGGAATCCTTTTGCTGCTATGGCTGCCATTTGCTTGCGGGGATTGCTCATTTAGCTTTCCGCGCGACATAGCAGACAAAAAAGCCATCCCGGTCGCAGATGCCGACGGCTGGCACTTGGTTTGGCAAGACAAGGAGGCTATTTGGTCTCAGAAGATCGACCGATCATGCAAGCCAGGACATGTTTGTATGTTGACAAATCATTGGCGGGCTGCCTTCATATATTGGGATTCTAGACAATGTTGGTGTGGAGGGCTTTTGCCTAGAAGTGACACCAGTTTCTCGCTCACATTTGAAAGATCCTGTTTAGGCCCGGAGTGGTGCGAGTCTACGAACGATATCCTGACATCCAATCTTAGTGTCATTTGACTGAAACTTCAAGGCTTGATACTTCAACGAATCGGATCGCACAACACCCTGGAGGAGCACGAAGCTTAGTGAACAGTTCGCAGCTCTTGCTGCGGCCAGACAACGGCCTGGCCGCGGCAGTGCTGACGCAAGGCGGTGGCTTGCTAGTGGCTTTTATGCTGGATGGTCTCTACTTGAAGCTTGGAGAGTTGAGTGTGCCTTGGTCTGAGAACCAACAGCCGAAGCGTTTTGGGTAAAACGTTGTGCCATGGCCGGTTCTTGTGAAGCTTCACACACACACATGAATCTGGTAGAATGCACGTAAGTGGTTGTTTTGTGTCCGGCATTGATTTGCGCTGGTTGGTTGTAGCCAATGTTTGGGCTTTTGCAGGTGGGGGGCTGCTTTGCTCTAACTGGCCGGGCTTGAACATATTATTTCCATTGAGGATGGTCCACGCAGGATTCTGCATGGGTACTGATCAAATAGCATGCTTTAATGCTATTCAGATGATAGCCATATCGTTGCGTAAATGCATTGTGCTGGATCGATTGTGTGTAGGAGGGTCTTGCATGCCGCTGTGGGTTTGCCATGATGTCCGCGATATTGAGTTTTGAGTTGATGACTTGGCAAGGTCTCAACCCCAATTGACACCTAACCTTTCCCCGAACCCGCTGTCTCTAGACGCTAGGCTCCCATGGACCTTCCGACTGAATATGTTGATTTTGACTTTGACCCGCTTGCGACAGATTGTCAATTTCACCATCCTTCTGGCTGCCTTGGATAAGGTGATGTCATTTTCTTGAGGGCGGCTTTCATGTCGATATTTCAATTCGTTGACTTGCAAACATTACAGCAAGGCAAGAACGGCATGACCGACTGGAGAGTGAACTTGTTGGGCTGTAGAGGGCGTTGGCCATTGTTCAGCGTCCGTCAAGGATTTACTGTCCAACACTTGTGTGACGCTTGACAGGGGAAGATCCGCGTTTGCTCTTGTGCATACTTTGAGCATTGCGCACTTGGCATTTTGAAGCAATTCCCATGCCGTTTGAGCTGTTATTGCATGCAAATCTTGGTACCAGGTAGTCAGATCCATGTCCAATGTACATTTTACCACATGTGCACAGAAACTGGCGGACTGTGTATCTGGTTTCTTTCCCTCTGGTTCATGCGAAAATTCATTACTGTTGTGACGGGCCCGCAAGCGGTGCCCAGGATATGATATAGGCGCCATAATGTTTGCTGCACGCAAGTGAATGTTTCTTTTTTTTAATGTCATTATTATTATTATGATTGTTGTTATTATTGTTATTGTTACTATTATTGTTATTATCAATTATATGTTATTATTATGATTATTAATATTATTATTATTGTTACTATTATTATGATTATTATTGTACGACCGAGGTGCGCTTGGCTGACTCAGCTCACTCCATGGTTCTGGCAGAGGCCAGCGGTCTGGTGGCCGCCTGGAGAGCCATGGCCCTTTTTCAGTCTGCTTTTCAAAGGAGGTTGGACTTGTGTGTTTTGTTGCGCTGAACGTCGTGCTTATGCGTGAGTGGAGAGTCTAGAGTCAAATTGTTTCGCAGTTTGCTTTGGGGGCTGAGTGATTTGAAGGGTAAATGTGAACCCAGCGATATCTGTCAGGGTGTTGCTAGCATGTTGTTTTCTCTACCCGGTAGTTAGACACATGACCTCATTTGCGCAGCTAACCTATAAGATGACTGGTCATTACAACCACAACAGCAGGTAGAGCAGAGTCTAAGGTAAGGCCCAAATAACCATACACTCACAGGGACCCACTGACACACACACACACATAGACACACTGACACAGAGACACAGAGACACAGAGACACAGAGACAGACACACAGACACAAACAAGAAGCACACACGCCCACAGATATACAACGACGCGGACACAGGGCCAGCCACAGAAGTGCAGAAGCATACTCAACTTAGCTATCAGCATTTTAGTGTTTAACAGGGAGTAGGGATAGTACTTGTGCGCTTCGATACAGCATTTATGTCAAGCCAGCGTGCAGTGTTTTCGGATGAGAGGCCGCTAAATTGTGGCCAGACAGGTGGCATGAATATGAATAATTACAACAGGTTAAAGATATATTGCTGCGCCTTCTTGATGGCTGTCAGATTCCTGTTGCCCTAGGCACGCATGATGGGGCAGTGTTTGCCTCCCGCTGCGATGCGCAGCTGAACTGCAGTGCGGGCTTTTCCATCTCGCCGGCAGCTGCCGTCCCACGGTTGCTGCAGTGCAAGGGCCTGTGGGCGCTTTTCGAGGATGGCCCGGTGCTGCAGTATCTTGGAGACGGGCGCCCCGGCGATGAAGCAATCACTTTTCTATGTTCAATATCCTGAAAGGGAGGAAACGGAGTATGTGTAATTTATTTGTGCTTCTCCAATTCAAGTGCAGTGTTCAATTTATCATCATCATCATCATCATCATCATCATCATCATCATCATCATCATCATCAAAATCATCATCATCATCATCATCATCATCATCATCATCATCATCATCATCATCATCATCATCATCATCATCATCATCATCATCATCATCATCATCATCATCATCATCACCATCACCATCACCATCACCATCACCATCACCATCACCATCACCATCACCATCACCATCACCATCACCATCACCATCACCATCATCATGTTCATCAAAACCATTCATTTGGGATTCCTACTTCCTTTGCTCGTAGTTTCTTAGCTTTGCTTTGTGCCTCGCAGGGGTTGGAGCCCCGGGCCTTTGGTGAACTTCCACGGGGACCACGCCATCACCGCGGCACTCGACTGCCAGGGCGACCAGGCGGGGGGGGGGGTGGCGGGGGCGGGGGAGAGCTGCCGTTTTTCGCCAGAAATGGGCTTTCCCTGCTGTTCTTCCATTTCAAATGAATATTTGTTGTTTTTTTGCCCTTGTTGGTTTTAAAAGGAATTTATCACTACTGGAAATATGGAACTATGTTTTTTCCAGGGGTCTTAACCAAAATTCAAGTTGTTCTCCCATATTTTCGAGTGATTGCCAGAGAAAAACGAAAATTCACTGAAGACTAGGGGAGATGGAAAATCGGCTGGCTCTTGGAAACACCTGGATGTTGAGGGTTGCTTCCAAGGTTTGAGGTGAAGATTCACCTTGCCTGCAAGCAATTGACTCGTCCAAAGATGATCCACACCTGAATTCCTGAGTATGTCGTACCTTATGCAAAGGGCTCCCTCCCTATACAGTTGAACTGGTTAAAATATCACCTTGGGGACCATCTTTTGTCGGAGGTTCGTTCCTTTTGGTGGGGGTGATGTTGAAAGGGAAATCCAGGGACCTGTTGTATTCGGTTCAAGTCCCAGGTGGTGTCCCTGTGGCTGGAGCGTGGCGGCGCAGACGTGCGCTGGAACTACACCAAGGCTGGGATCTTAGCGTTGTTTCATCAACGCACATCTTCATGGCGATTTGGTTGGATCTTTGGACTTTCACTTTTTGGTTGAAGCAGGTCGGATTTCCGAATCGGACTCACAAAAAGGTAGACTTTTGCTTAGGGGTCAACAGCAACCACGACAGTTGCAGTCCAGGGTGAGATGACACGGACATTGGTCCCAAGTGAGTTGGTGTGATTGCGTGTTTTTTCTGCTCGGCGTGTGCGCATATGCGTGAGGAATTGTGTAAATGACTTGACAAGATCGCGGCTGAAGGAGGCCGAGTTGTCCTTAAATGTGCACAACCTCCATGACCATAGTCTTGAATGGTTGATTGGATGTTGGTGAATGGTCGGAATATGCTGCATGAGGTTCATCGGTTCCTGAGGGAATTCGGTGGTTATGTTGCCGCGTGGCCATGGCCAACCCAGTTTTTGTCCACCTCCCCAAGCATTTTGTTGGTCCTCCGGACCAAACAAAAAAAGGCCAAAGGTCGCAAAAGTCGGCATGGGCGGGACAAATGAGCCATAATCAAAACCCGGGTAGATGAAGGTTACTAAGGGAAAGTCCCAGCCAGAATTAGTTGCGGATATCCGCCTTCTTAATTCTGTATATATATATATATGGTTCCGGTTGACCATTTCAATATCGGGTTTTGATTATGACTCAAGTGATCTTGGTGTTTCTTCCGAGTCGCAGGCCGTGGGCGCAGTGGGCGCCAATCTCACACTCGCCCCGACTCCCCTGGGCACGAGCTTGGGCCTGGGCGAAGCGCGGATCGTGGCGAGCAGCGGCTTCATGCTGCTGGTGACGGACACCGCCAAGCTCCAGGCACCAAATCAGAATCATTTCCCGGATGTGTTGTTTGTTGTTTGCCACAAGTGGCAATTACAAGACACATCTTGATCTTCTTGAGGCTGGCAAGCTCTAAAAGCTTATATAACTGGAGTTCACCTCGGTTTTCCTTTGGTTCTCGGTTAGGTCCAGCTGCTGAACTACGTGTCCCAGCGCCCGGTGCTTTACCCCGTCCACGACCTGGCGCTAGGCGCGGAGAAGGTGGAGGTGGCGCTGGACTGCGTGGGCCAGTGCCGGGGCGCCATCCTCTGCTGGGCGGCTGGCGGGGTGCTGAGCTCCGACCCGGCCAGCTTCCATTGCTCCTCGGAAGAAACACATGGAGAGGCTAAAAAAGAAAAAAAAACATGCAGAGGCGATTGTTTTTCCCAAGATAGCTGAAAGCCGTAGGGGTTCTAACCTCTAATAAAGCGGGGAAAGTGAGATGCAAGATTGATGAGCTGGTGCTAGGGGGCGTGCAGTTTGGGGTGCTGGTGTAGGTGCTGTTTTGGGGTGCTGTTTGGGGTGCTGTTTGAGGTGAAGGTGAGATTGATAGCCGGGTGCCAGCGGGCATGCCGGTGACGGGCCCACTTTTGCAAGATCGACGGTGGGATGCTGTTTGGGGTGCTGTTGAAGGTGCTAGTGACGGCGCAGGCGCACTTTTGCGAGATGGACGGCCGGGTGCTGTTTGGGGCGCTCTTCGGGGGGTGATGTTGGAGGTGCTGGTGTACAAACGTTGGCATGTGTTTCGCTATTTGGGGTCTATGCCGGTGTATTTTGTTTTAGAGAATACGGAGACAAATGATTCTTTGACTACCCTCCCTCCCACAAACATAGCACTTGTGGGAATGCACCTGGAACATCAATTTCCTCTTGAAGAGAGAGCGAGAGAGGGAAGGTCTTATTTCAAAGTACCTCCAATTGACTCACCAAATGTTCAAGGGGGGTGACATAGTGAATAGTGACCACGGCTCTCAAGCTGACGCCTAACGCCATGGCATGTGAAATTGGCATCGGCCAAGGCGTCTACAGAGGTTTGGGCGCCCTCATGGACACGGAGGGCTTGGGCATCGGTGGCCAGTTTGTTGTGCTGGTCATTTTTTCCATGTGCCTTGGTGCCACTGGCGTTAGTTGTCACCCCCATTTGGGATTTCCTCGAAAGCCGCGCCGAAGCTGTTGGGGCAACTTATTAGTCTTCCTGCTTGCCGAGTGGCCAAAATGCCGATGGCTGGAGCCTTTATACAATTGCTACAGCTTGGTAAGCATTTTGTCGAAGAGCCGCGTGATGGCTGGAGTTGATGGGCGTGCCTGTACTGAAACTATACCTGCGACGAGTTAATCATGCGAGGGTTTCACGAGGTTTGGAGTGAGGTTTGGAGGGGGTTGCATCGTATGGAGTTGCTTGGGAGTTTGCTTTGGGCAGTTTGTTGTAGATATGTCACACTGTTCTTCACCAGACCATCTTTTTGGCACATTCCGGACAAACAGGAAGCCGTGGACTCATTTATACACTGTCGCAGTCAAACAAAGTGTTCCTGCCTCCCCTCAAAACGTTGAGAAAGCGGACGAACCCTGGCGGGCAAGCTTTCCGCGCATAGTCAAAACGTTTCTTCGCACCTCATGGACCCTAGGGGGGGCTTCCTTGGGAGGTTTCCCTGGAGAAGCCTAGGATAAGTCAAGGTTAAGCCCTTAATAAGGCCTTATCAAAGCCACCCCTCCCCATAGCTCCCCTTAGGGGTCCAACATGACCAGAGTCGGTGTTTGTTCAGCTCTAAGCTGGCATTTTCCGTTCCAGTTCTGCCTAGCGACATCTCAGGCTGTTGCTGTGCCTGCTGAAGCAGTGCCACTGCACCTCCTGCCCGAGCCTGCGGCGGCGCTGGTCGGCGCGAGGCCTGCGCCGCGAGCCAAGAGGCGGCCGAGAGCAGCTGCAAAGCCAATTGGCGCAGATCCCGCTGGTGCCGCTGCAGGAGGGCAGGTGTGAGACCCCGCAGTCTCCCTGCCCCATTTGTCAGAACGAGGCGCGGAGAGGGCAAGCAGGAAGCTTTTTGCTGGGAGAAACGCCTCATGTGAAGATTGAATGTTTGGGCCCGTTGTTTGGCCCTTCCATTGCTCCTTTTTACGAGGTGAAGCCTCTAGACCATCCTTGTGGATCCTCCAGGAACAGTGTTAGATCTGGCAAGTGTGTGTGCGTTTCTTTGCAGCGCCGGCACCGCCGCACCGCGCCGCGCCGCGCCGCGCCGCGCCGCGCCGCACGCACGCACGCACGCACGCACGCACGCACGCACGCCACATCTTGTTGCTTGCATATGATTGCATCTAGTGAGGATAATTGGGCTGAATGTTCACCATGGTAATCAGATGAGCCACAATCGAAACCCGGGTATATGAAGGTTAGTAAGAGATAGTTCCAGCTATAGCGGCTGCCCTTCCAATCGTTCGCATGGCTTTGGGTGTTGATTGTGACTCAGATGCGTCTGTGTTGTGGCCAGGTGTTGGTGCGAGTGGCGCTCGGCTGCGGCCACACGGCCTGCCGAGATTGCTCCACAAGGCTGGTGGAATTAGGGCAGCCCTGCCACATCTGCAGGGCGCCTATTGAGCAACTCCAAGTGGTGTACATTTAAGACCTTCGGCACTCCAAAGGGTACCCTTCTCAAAACAAACACACACACACACAAATACACACACACACAAATACACGCACACACACACACACAAATACACACACACACACAAATACACACACACACACACACACACACACACACACACACACACACACACACACACACACACATGCACACACACACATGCACACCTCGTGAGGTTGATGCAAGGTCTTAGCCCGCGAACCTGTGGACTAGAACAGTTACACAGGTAGAGGGAGCCTTGGAGTCACTGCCGCGCTTGTTTTTCGCTGCAGCTCTTCCAGTGTCCTCCTTTCATGGTCCAATGTTTGCCTGCAAAGAAACGCGTCTGCAAAAAGGCGTTGCAGAAAAACTGACTGCATACCTCACTTGCCGAAAGCTGACCTTTTGACCCCTTGGTTCCCTTGATTTGGTTCATGGTCTATTCGTCAAGGCCGCAAAAGGTGATTACCTTTTGGGTCCTTCGGGCAATTGAGACATTGATACCTCACTGTCAATGACTCCAGAGGACCACGGAGGAGGGGGTTTGCCCTGGCTTGGCTTGAAGCCAGCAGGTGAGTGTGCGAGCGTGTCAAAATGTGGCTGTCACCAAACAAGCTGGAAGCCGTTCGCTAACATTGGCCCTTGAAATTTAGATGCCATCCAAAAACATCGGCAATATAAAATATATTGATAATAGTATGTATAATATATATATATATATATTCTGTAAAATACAGTACTTTATCAACTGCAGACACGCGAGGTAGATCATGGGGGTGGGTGTGACCATATATATATATATACTAATAATAATAATAAAATATATATATATATATATATATTTACATTCTTTCGAAACCATCCCAAAGAGTGCCCCCCCCCCCCCCACCCCAGATTTTGACGCAGCAGTCGGGCCTTCCAAAGCAGACACACGCGTTCCAGCGCGCAACTGTTTCCGAGGCCAGGAACGAGGCGGAGTCTGGCAGAAAGCCACGGGCTGCGCACCGAGAAGGGGACTCGACCAGAGAATTCATGGGGATAGCAACGGGCCCTGGTCCGGGGTAGACTTAGGATACATTTTACATGTTACCAGTGACTCAAAGTGAAGCAAACAATGAAACATACATTCTATAACTGGGCCTAACTCTAGTCATGTGGTGGAATGCTTAATGATTTTGTTGTTTGAGACCTCAGGTGGGTCTGAAAGTTTCTGGATCTCAGAACCTTTCTGGGAGGCCTGCTGTGTTTCCTTGGGTTTGCTATGGGCATGGGTGTTGAGGAACCGCAGAATGCCAAACATAGGCCACTGTACATTGACCAAGGTTCCGTTTGTTTAGTGTACCTTGGCAATCAACAAAATAATATGGCAAGTTGGGGGTCCAGCTCGGTGAACAACCGTGTGCTGACCCTTGTCGGTCCCCGGAAGTGCTGTAAATGGTGGGATGATATCATATCTTCCCCGACTCAAATTGCCTTGACATAGGCCCATCACTTGACGATTGGGTTGGAGTTGTCAAGTTTCTTCTATGTTGACTTATCACCATGTGTGGAATAGGAAATCCAATACAACCCACTATACGCACAGACAATGCGGGATTGGCACAACCATCCTTTGGTTCATGCAGAGTCTTCCGACAAAAGGGGCGCAGCTGAGATAGACATCGCGAGCCAAATGGCCCAAGTGTAGGCACTGGTTTCAACACATGGCAGGCATCCATTGGCCAGGAGCCCTAGCCCGGGCTCAGCCTGAGTTTGCATTCAAGGACCCAAACAACAACCAGAACAAGGCAAAAAACAGCTGCTTAGTCGCTTGAAGCCTGAACCTGCATACTTGCTCATGCACGCATGTGCTTAGATCATCGACAAATGTCCCATATCAAGTGACACCAGCGTGCTTCGGCTGCCCCCGAAAAACTGAGAGCCCTCGGATTGCAATGGCGGCCGTGGGTCCCGCGGCTCGTCCGAGCCGGTTGGTCTTGGCCCGCGAGGCGTCACTTTCGGTTCGACTGGACTGGGATCGGTCATCGTCTAGATTCCTAACTTGGCATCACTTATTTCAGCCCATGTCCATGTCCTTTTGCTCAGAGCTGGCAGCACCCGAGCTTACGGGTCTCTTGAGCGTTGTGCGAACACAGGTTTCACATGGTGTGGGTTTAGGGGTGGTAGCATGGTAGCATCAGTGAACAAGGCTTTGCCATACCCATCGAACCATTTGACAAGATGCGCTGGCGATTGTACTTGAACGTGTATTTTTTTTTCAAAAAAAGAAGAAGGAAGAATCCGCACATTGCTGACTGCTGAAATGTTTGAAGGTTTGGACACTACTTCAACATAGGCATAGCACCAATGGTGCCATCTGATCTGAAACTTGATGTTTCTAGACTCACTGTGAGCATTGGACCTTCCTGCGAGGTGCGAGACGTCAGGCCTGCAGCTGTCGCCCAAAGTGCCTGGGACAACCGTTAGATGCTTGGTGGTTTGGTGGTCAGCCATGTTCAGCTGGTCTACTGTACATCAAACCACCATGCGTTACGCTAACTTGCGGGCGATGGGCATATGTTTTTTGTTTGTACAAGGCAAGTGAGGCATCCTTGAGCTATGGCTTTCTGAATGATGATATGTTGTGTCACGATGCACGTTGCAGGCCACAGGATGTAGGCTTCAGGCGGCGCACTGGTTGCTCCAGCGACTGGTGAGAGGTGGTTAGGTGCTAAGCTTGGGCCAGGAGATCATGTCATGTGGACGTGCATCAAAAGTATTGCTAGCCAGCTGCTGTGTTAGCCAGCTTTGAAAATTGTTTTGGGGCGCGCTTTCAGCTTCAAGCTGTTTACCGACTGTGGCCCAGCGTGCCGAAAGGTGCCATCAGGGTTCACTCAAGCCAGTGCTGTAAGTGAAGTTTGTCGGGCACAATCGTTTTGCAGACTTGTTACGTAGACTGATTACTTAAATTAGGCCCTTCGCTGAACATCAGGCGTCCTTGGCTAGTTGTGTAGTAGTGCACCTGGTCTAGAGTACTTGCGATCCCTTTCGGCTTTGGATGTGTTTTCTTTGAGATGCAAGCATGGTCAATGTCAAAACTACTGACAGGCAAATATTGGGGAAGCACAGCGAATCATCAGTCCATCCAGAAGTGCGACAAGCACCGACACTGCAAGGAATGAATTAGTTGCCATGAAAGCAGTTTGGACATGCACACTTGCGGGCTCACTTGAGGCTCTGCTGGCTTTGGCGCTTCAGCGACTGCAGTGCCGGCTAGCTCCAACGGCCTTCGCTGCTCTTTGGCAAGATTCGAGCAACACCCAGCAACGGCCTTTGCCCGACATGGCTACTTCATGTACATTGGGAGCCCCAAGAAAATGTATGGATGCCATGATGCTATTTGTGACGACGCCAAAGTGTTGACCCGTGTTTCGTTGTGGGGCACCTGTCATATTTCATGAACACCAAGGAGCTAAGTACTCCATATCAGCTGCCCCAAACAAGCAAATCACGTTCAGCCTGACAGTGCGTTCGTTCCTGCGGGGGGTGTTAGTTGTTATTTCTGTTGGTAGCAGAATGCTTGCCATACGTGATGTCTACATGATGTCACGCAGAACCAGACCCATGATGGCATTAGTTTTCTCCCCATTGTTTGCCCTTTGCCTGCTGACTTGCGCATGAATTTTAACGACGGAGCTAGGATGTGTTCTCTTTCACGGAGCTGGCTAGTTTAGAGTGTTTCAGACAGAGAGTCAACTCATCCACAAATCGAGGCGGCTTGCTGGGCGGTGCCCTTTATGCTTGGCAGCTTGGTTGCAGAGGCGCAAGGTCCTTCGTAGCACCTGGGAGTCGCACAAAAGGCTTTGCGATTTTTGCTTGCGCATGTCAAAGCCTCCCTCGCCACTCTGAGTTGACCTTGCTCTGGGCTCTTAGACTGACTGTTTCCCTCTTCAGCATATCGGGCTTTGACAGATACCCCTATTTACCCAAACCGGACAATAATTCGAGATAGCATTGTCAGGAGCAGACGGCAGCGTCGCCGGCAACGTCCCTCACGTTGTGTGCTGAGAGTTGCTGAGCCTTGGGCCATGGTGCTAGCCGGGACTACCAGCAGTTTTGTTTGTTTTTCTTTCGCATTCTAGTCACCTTGCGCTGGTGATTTGTGTGTTGCGAGTTGAACAGTCGGGTTCACCGCCTTTTCAGCACTCTGTCCGATCTGATCCCAGTCACTGGATCAATATGTAAGTCTATGGCATGGATTTGCACAAAAGCTTGCACAGATCATGCTGCAACGTTGTTTTTTTTGTGTTGCTTGCCCAAACCCCTGTCTTAGGGTGGCCAACAGGAACTAGAACTGAACAACTGCCAGCCTCCTCAACTTCATGCGTTCGCAACGAGAAGCCAGTGGGTTCGCACATCGGCCCCATATTGCCTTCAACTTGGATTTTTTTTTTTTTTAATATCCTGTCGGATTAGATAGCGCATGTTTTTGCTGGCAGCGTTCTGCCGCCTGCCCTGAAAACCGGCCAGCTCAGGATGACACATCCTTGGCCTTGGCTGCAGCCCTGCCAGCCATACCAAATCAGCCTCTAGAGGCTGCCCGGCAAGAGCCCAGTTTCCCCCGTTTGGCTCACCCAAAATTTTGACAGTGCCGAAGCAGGAGTCTTTGAACATTTAGGACTTGCTCACCATATCGTTTTTTGGAGTGTCAATGGTTCTGCCGGGCAAGTTAATGTATGTATTAATTACATTGTATTGTATTTGTTTGTGTGTGTGGGATTGTGCACAGGGCTCAGCATGCTTTGAAAAGTTCGAAGCTACAGTTGAAGAGCACTTGCGTTTAGCTGCTACTTGCAAGCGATTTGCCCAGCGTGCAATCAAGAACATGTGGTATTCCCTTGCAGCTGTTGAGGCAAGCAAGACATGTGTTGAACGCACAGACGGCCAACCTGACCACCATGACTATCGTACTAAACATTAGGTGCTTTGCTTCAGACACCGGCGCAGCCTTTTGATATTGCCAGGTGCAAGTGCAAGTAAGGATGCAGGTGGGTGAGAGACTAGATGGCACAATTCCGCAATTTTGGTTTGTGCATCCTGGTTGCTTGCCAACATGATGGGAAGTATGTCGCTGGTGTACATGCCAGCTCGCCGAGGTTTTTTCAGCGTTGGCGCTGGCCATCGTGTGTCACGAGGCAGGCAAACCGCTTGCATGCTTGCTCATGAGCCTCAGTGACAAATAGATGGCATATCAATATACACATGCTGATACACAACATGTGCTTGCCAGATGTTGTGTCAGAAAGGCACATGTGTTCACAAGGAATTCGCCTGTGCCATGTGAGTGTGCATTAGCAAGGTAACGATTGCCGGTGCATAAATTTGTCATTGTGCGTGCTGAACTCTATCGGTAGCATTTGGTAACGAGGTAAGGGCCGCCCCAACCACGAGATATCTATGAATAAGAGCACCACGGGCACTGGACTCCCCCTCAGCTCCTCTCACAACGGTTTCATTCCCCCCCGGGGCCGCTGTGAGCGTGAGGTTCGTGTAGATTTATGGGTATTGTTGGAACCCAAGATCTAGTCCTCTGCAAACCAACACGGATTCCAAAATCCCTTGTTTGTAGAGGAATCTCCTTTGGGGACCGATGCTTGGGTTCCATACTATTCTGCAGGAGAGTAGTGCTCTCCATACAATACATGTGACTTGCCTGGAAAGAGAATGAAAGGCCAGTCTAGTGGCTTGAGAAGGTTCCTGCACACTCTGTTGGCCCTTTTTGGTTTTGTGATGCAGGCCCCACATGATGAGTATGCCAGAAAGTAGAGTGCCAGAAAGCAGGGTGCGCCCCAAGGTCAAACCCCCAGTTAGACGTTGCCTCCGTCGGCAGCCATTTTGAGCCACCACGTTGGCACAAGAACCATGTGCGATCAAAGAGGGCAACATGATGATGACCATTTCAAAGGTCAGTTGCAGGCCACCCATTGCATGATTATGCGGAGGTAAAGCATGTTGAA